TCTCGGTGATGATATCCGAGTAATAAAAATCATTTATCCTTCGATGGTGATATTCAAGTGTTAAAAATCATTTATATTTTTTTGTAGTGATATTTGAGTGTTAAAAATCATTTGCATTTTCTCGATAATGATATCGAGTATTAAAAGTCATTTGCATCTTCTTAGTGGTGATATCCGAGAGTTAAAAATTTGTATCTTCTCGATGGTAATATCTGAGTGTTAAAGCTTGAATTGCATTTTTTAGATAGTGATATTCAAGTTTTTTTCGATGGCGATATCTGAAGTCATTCACATCTTTTCGATGGTGATATTCGAGATCATTTGTCCTTCGATGGTGATATTCAAAGTTATTTTTCGATGGTTCAATTTATTTTCATTAAGCTTTTGCTTAAAAGAACCTTTCAAATTTTTAAAAAGAAAAAAGAGAAAAACTTTGTGTTCAATGTTTTATCTTTTATATGTGTTTACCTGAATAAAATGGTTATATTTTGATCTTTGACTTATTCTTGATTCTCAGAAATAGGCAAAGAGAAGTAGCAGTCAATACCTGTTTTATCCAGTATCTATTAATCTAAATATTATTATTTATTTATTTTCTTTTTTTTTCTTTTTTTCTGATTTGCAACTACGGGCAGCCACCCTAATAGCTACCAGCAGCCACCCTAACAACCATGGACAACAACCCTGATAATCAACCTAATTCTAGACAAAGAAAAAAATCTAAAAAAATATGGAATTTTAATCTTCTTTTGGCTCTATTTATAGAGCCATATAAAACAAGAGAGATAGAGGATGAAAAAAAAAAAAAACTCACAGGATCCATCCAAAGGGAACCCTATAACTAAAAAAAATCTAGAATCCAATCATTAACAACAAAAACTTCCAAACTCAAAAAAAAAAAACCTAAAAACTCCAAAAGAATTAGACAAACACTAACAAAAAAATCAAAGTCCTTGGTAACGGGGAACCACAGCATCAAACCAAAAAAATTCATTTTGCCTAAAACTTTAGGGCTCGATTTACGCAATTCAAGGTCATTTCTTGCAAAACTAGGCTCAGATCAATGTTTAGGGGGTCGAAAGAAGATTTTTGGTGACTTTGGTTTTTCTCGACAACCAACGATCGACGGATGGTGACAGTGATTGATGGATGGCACGGTGTAATGGTACTGGCTTTTGGGAGTAGCGACAATCATTGAGGTTTAAAAAGAGAAAGTCTGAGAAAGAGAAAGTAAAAGAAAGGGGAATAAAAGAAAATGAAGTAAAAAAAATTGGCCTTTTATAGTGCTGCCAAAAGCAAAACAAGTGTACGTCACCCCGAATCCAACTTGGGGTCCGTACACCCGACCCGTGACCTGACCTTCTCCTTTGTTGACCAATCCAGCTGAATCGATCATCTAAACTGTTGAATCACTCCATACCAAGATTGGACCACCGGCGTTAATTCCAATGTTGACTCATCGTTGACCAATAAAAAAATTAGTTTTTTTTTCTAATTGTTATAGTTTATTCCATTTATTCTATTTTTATATTATTTTTTGTATTTTAATTTATAATTTAATATATCTAAAAATAAGTATTATAATAATAATAATAATAAGCAAATTACTAATAATAAATATGGAATTTAAAATAATGAATGAACAAAATTAATAATAAAAAATATAAAAAATTAGTAAAAATATAAGAAAAATAAAATTTTTATCCGATTATGAGATTCAAATATATTTTGAGTAGTGATACCTACGAAATCTCTATGTGAGAAGATTTTTTTTTAAATACTACCAGCGTATTGAAGTAATTTTTTATACAATAAAAATTAAAGTTTTCAGTACAATAAAAAAAATTTGCTATAAAGTAGTAAACAAAAATTAACTAATTTGTTAAAAATAAAATGATAAAAAAAAAAAAATTTTATTCGATGACTTGATTCTAAAAATATTTCGAGTAATGATGCTTTATAAAATCCACAAGTGAGAAGATTTTTTTTTAATATTACCAATGTATTAAAATATTTATAAAAAATCTTCAACATAATAAAAATCCCTCTTTTCTTCAAAAATTTAAATAAAAAATCAATAAAATCAATAAAATTTTAAAAGAAGAAAATAAATTGTGTATCAATATATTAATATTTTGTATTGTATGCACGACATAGTTTTTACAAAAAATAAATTCGAGCTTTCGAAGATGAGATTTTAAGAAATCTTTAGGTGAGAAAAAGTTCTTTTAATATTATCAATATACTAAAACATTTTAAGAATTATTTCAATAAAAAGATTCTAATTTATTTTTTCCAATAGAACAATAACTATGGAATAAGGATGAAAGAAAAAACCAAAACTATAATAAATAAAAGAAGTCAAGGAAATTACTTGCTAAACATTGAAATTAAAAATATTTTTATTAAGATTATTAGATAATACGTAATTAGACGTTGTGATGGTGCTAATCATTCCTCATACATAATTGATTCTCGAATCTAAACTATTTCACAAACTCCAAAATTATTCTTTTAATAAATTTTAATTAATTTTAAAATTTTAATAAAAAGATATGTTTTAATAAGTGATCAATCGCAAATAACAAAAAAAAATTGATGACGATTCTTTTTTTTTATTTTTTAATTTTATTTCTTAATTCGTCGGATGACTCCAAAATCGTTACAACAATAATATAAATATATATATTGATGGTTCAAATTTAATTATGAAATTTTTTTTAAAAAAAGTAGTAATAATTTTTCAAAAAATAAAAATATTAAACATCTTTTAATAAAGAAATGACGAACGACAAATGGGTAGGACGAAATCATTTTTTTAATCACATGACAGCTAATTAATTAAGTTAATTAGTACCTTTCCTAATTAGTTAAATAATTAGTTCAAATATTCTTCTTTCTTATTCTAGCCCGTTACTTAAGCAATTTGTTTAATCAATTGATTAATATATGCCTTACTTGTTTAATTCAATGGTCAAACGAAGCTTACATTTCTTTTCAAACCTAACCAGATGCGACCTTTCTTTTTTCATTAGTAGAAACCACGTTATCAAAAGTTTTTACCTTGGGTTTTTTAATTTCGATTGAACTTTGAATTCAAGATTTTCTTTTAACAGCTCATTAGTAAAAGTTTTTATTTCACTTGTTCTTTGGGTTAATTAACGTGTTAATGAAACTTGTTTGTCTTATAATTTTTCTTTTTGTTCAAGAACGTCATATTTAGCTCCCAATAGTCAACTGCAATTAAGTCTAGCTTATATGCTTCGTTTTCTTTCTTCCTACTTCTCAATTTTTTTTATCAAAAATATAGATCGAAAATGAAATTTAATGGAGTATGATATTTTGGTTTATTTGCGTCCAAGTAATATCAATCCTATCTTTTCAAGTGTACAAAATTGATATCAAAGTTAACATGTATGGATTTAGTTAAATGTTGATGAATACATATAGGATTATAGTGTGGATCTTTGTGTGCAATATTATAAAAATATTTTACCCATTTATATTCTTTGATGAAGTTACAATAGTATTTATCAAAAAAAAAAAAAGAAATTATAATCATAATCATAATAAATATTACATTTATATAAAAATTACTAAATTAAATTAAACAAATTAACGAATCAACACATAATTGAATACATTTTATATAAAATTAAATCAAATTCACACGACGACCACACATGATAGACTTGAACTTAAAATCTCAAAAATTTAAAAAAAAATTCTTATCATTAAGCTAAAATCTCATTAATATTTTATCTTTTAATGAAAAATAAAATAATAATGTCGAAAAATTATGAGAAAAAAAATTCTTAGGGTCCTTTCTTTTTTCAATCTTGACGGGCTTTAGTCAAAAACTTTATTAAATTGAGGAAGACAAAATTGATTTGTATTTTAACACTTCTATTCAAATTCGTCCTACTTTAATTAGCCATCTGAATAACGTGTCAAAAATTCTTCATGTTTTACAGTTTTTTTTTTTTTTGAGGTTTTGGGAAGAAAAAGAATTAACGTGTCGGTCACCAACTTTGCTTTTAATCTTGGCTTTACCAAAATCATTGATTTATCCCATACTCCCAGCTTAATTTTTTTTTTATTTTTTATAAATATTAGGTCGGATATTATAAGCATGGATTTAGAATTATTTAATTGTTATTTTATTTTTTGCATTTAATGCATTATTTTTTAAAAATTTAAGAAAAAAAACAATGCATTAATTGCATTTTTTAAAAAAAATCAACTCAACCAATACTATTAAGGACAAATTAAATATCTCAGTCTCAAATTAATCTCAATTACGTTAATCACATGAAATTTATTTTATTTTGATATTTGATTTACTAATAATTAATAAAGAGTTGCTAAATTCAACAATTTTGGAAAATATAGTTTATTAATTAAAGATTCCCTAGGATCTTGAAAATGATTCGTCAGCCTCAAAGATATTATACGGATTAATGAAATCATTTTTTCTCATTAAAAAAAGAAAAAAAATCATTTTGAGCAGTTGTCCCATTAACATATATATATACAATATATAAATATATTAGCTGGTCCGTTTGGAAAGTTGCCATCTCTAGAAAACAATGCGTAATCTTTTCACTAAATAAAACAGTGAACGTCACAACCTTATATCAGCCTGATGATATCATCTCCACCGTGTTTAGTAAAGACCTCCTAGCGATGGAGGGTATCTTTCAGGCAAAGACTTCATGTGAATATACATGGAATCTTCCATAATATTTGAAATATTATGAGTATAAATAAATCTAATATAAATGAATTTTGTAATATTTATGATTTGTTTATTTAATTAAAAAATATTAAAATGTTATCATGATAATGTATTAAGTTTAATAAAAACATATAAATCAAATCTATTCACAAATGATTAAACAATTTTATTTGTTTATATCTATAAGAAGTACTATATATTTCGATTTAAAGGGACAAAGGATAATATTTTTCTTTATTTATATTTTTGGGTGGTTAAATAAAATCCAAATGGGATTTTTTTTTTTAATAAATACTGATGATGTAATAGTTTGACACATGCCATGACCTTTCCAGTTCGTCACACCATATATAGATCTATAAGTATGGGAGTTTAAGAGAGATGTCATGAAATTCGTTCATGAAACGAGATATAGAAATATAGGACTTGGAGTTGATTTTGGCAGGTTTGGTGTATCAAGGTCAGGCAGTGCGTAATTTTTCACACATCCAAGAGTGTTAATTTGTTAAATAAGCTCAAAAGCAAACGTTTTATTCACAGATTTGTGAGTTTTGTTACTGAATCAAAGGGGAGCAAGAATCATGGGAGAAGTAGTACCCATTGAAGATGATTCAACGCAAGAGCTTCCACTTTACCTACCACCTACGCCGAGTCCACTGCAAATCATCACAATCAAATCCACCTCCATCAAGGAGACGACGCCTGGAGTTACTAAGTGTGATTCTAATGGTCAAGGCGTCGACCCTCGGGAACTTGAATCCTGGCTGCCTATTACCGAGTCGAGAAACGGCAGCACATTCTCTGCAATTTTCCATCTTTTGTGTTCAGGGATTGGGTATCAGGTCCTTCTGCTTCCTGCGGCATTTGCAGTTCTTGGATGGTGAGTTTGCAAGTTTTGCAATTACTGAATCCGACTCTTCAAACTACTATTACCTATTCTCTCTTCTGTTGTTATTGAAATTGCTTATTTGATCAACATGACAACGTTTTTTTGCCACAAAACTGTTTTGTTTTTAAAATTTCCAAGTTTCAGAATCGGCTAAGGTGGACCTGACAGTAGACTCAAAGTTAGAAGAGTCTCTTGTTAATGTTACTATTTCTATTTGGACAAAATTAATACAAGAAATTAGTCCCCAATTAAAGCCCAAAAATGGGAAAAAATAAATTCATATATAAAATATTCCTGTTCGTCTTCTTTCAAAAACCTGTCCAAAAAAGGGTCAAAAGATAGCTCCTAAATGGCGTCTAATTTCTATTATATTCTAGTCTTGCTGATACTGCTATTTGGGGCTAAGTTTTAACCAAGACAACAGCGTCAGAGCAAGTGGAAACGTTCAAATTTGAACCACTCTGGCCCATTTTTTCTTCTTTTATAATAGAATTGCTTTTCCTTTTTTAACAAAAAAAAATTAAAAGTATTACTTTGAAGCAAAGGGTTTATGTATTTATTTATTTCTTGTTGCTTAGATTTTGATACAATTTTCAATTGCTGTAGGGCATGGGGAATCATATGCTTGTGCATGGCATTTATGTGGCAACTCTACACTATATGGCTTCTAGTCAATCTTCACGAACCCGTTCCTGGAACTCGCTACAGCAGATTTGTCCGCCTGTCAATTTTTGCCTTTGGTTAGTGATTACAAGAAACCCAAGTCAATGGTCTTTGAAATTTCACCTAACTTGATTGTACCGAAATGACCAAAAATTTTCTACTCTAAACCTATCCCAGGTCAAAAGCTTGGGAAGCTGCTGGCAATCTTCCCAGTAATGTATCTGTCAGGAGGCTCTTGTGTTTTGCTTATTATCACAGGAGGAAGGACCATGGAACAACTTTTCAAGATCATATGTGGAGAAGGAACAATGTGTGAATCCAAGTCATTGACTGGTACAGAGTGGTTTCTCCTCTTTACTTGCATAGCTCTTATCATTGGCCAGTTACCCACTTTAAAATCAATAGCCAGAGTCTCCCTAATTGGTGCCATAACTGCGATTGGGTACTGTACTATGATATGGGCTCTCTCAATCAGCAAGGGTAGGCCTGATGGTGTTTCTTACAGCATACCAAATGATGCAAAAACTGGTATGACTGGATTTGGTAACATCTTGAATGCCATTGGCATCCTTGTGCTTGCATTCAGAGGCCACAATCTTATTCTTGAGATACAGGTGAATAATCTTTACATTCTTTTAGTCCTGTTCATTGAAAAAATCTTGAACATGGAAACTAGATTGAACCAGTATCATGATTATCAAACATACAATTGTAGAAAGCTATCTTGACAACTATGAACAGCAATGATAATGGGGTAATAATTAATGTTTATTAACTATTACCATTCGAAAATGTAGTACAGAAAGCTAACCAAGTCCTATCAATTCCTGCAACTACTGGAGAAAAAGTGTTGCCAATTCCTTATGGTAATGTTCTTGTTGATTCAGGGGACGTTGCCTTCCAATTCAAAGCACCCATCTCGGAAGTCTATGTGGAGAGGAGTAATGGTGTCCTATATAATAATAGCAATGTGTTTTTTTCCACTTGCTATATTTGGATTTTGGGCTTATGGAAACAATGTAAGCATGTATCCTTTCCATCTCATTGTTCATTGACATATGCAATTGGCAATTCTTGGTTTTTTAATATTACTAACAGTACTTTTCTTCATTTCTTGCAGATACCTGCAAATGGAGGGATTCTAACTGCATTTTTACAATTTCACAGAAAAGAGACTTCAAAGTTTGTGATAAGCCTAATCTACTTATGTATAATTATAAGTTGCTTGGGTTCATACCAAATCTATGCAATGCCTTCTTTCGACAACTTCGAGTTTATTTATGCCACCAGTAAAAACAGGCGAAGTCCAGGGTGGGTTCGTGTAGGATTACGCCTTTTCTTTGGAGGACTCACATTCTTCATAGCAGTGGCTTTTCCCTTCTTGGGAAGCTTGGCACCTCTACTTGGAGGAATGGCAGCAGTACCTTTGACGTTTGCTTATCCATGTTTCATGTGGATTTCAATCAAAAGACCCCGGGCCAATAGTGCCATGTGGAGTCTGAACTTGGGACTTGGTTGCATTGGCATTGGTCTGAGCATTTTGTTAATAGTTGCTGCTATATGGAACTTAGCTGACAAAGGTTTAAATGCCAACTTCTTCAGGCCTTAATGGCAGATACAAAAGAAATAAAAAGCACTCAGATCAAGAATGATCGAGTCATGTGTATATTTATGAACTTAAACGAGCCTAATCAAATCCTTCTTTTAGCCAATTAATCAATTTTTTTGCTGTGTATATATAAAAATTGAAATCGTTGTCCGTTAGATTAGTTTCAATAAGATTTACATTTCATTAACATAAATCAGAGAAAACAATGTTTTCGTGAGAATTATGATCTGACGACTGGAACATATCCAAAGTAATTGATGATCCCTGAATCTTAACATACCCCAGAAATGAAAAATGATCATGAATCAGGAATTTTATCATCTATAATAAAAAAAAATGAAAATGATATTATCCGTGGAAGTAAAGTCTTTGACGCTTCTCGACCAGACAAGAAAAAGTGATCATCACAGTGCGATACCCACTAAAATCACGACGTAGACAAGAAGAATATAAAGGACAAAATCACAAAAAAAAATTCAAAGAGAGAAAAGAATCAGGCCTCGCATGGTTAATTTCACAGCCTTCTGGAAGTAGTTTAATTCCTGAGTTTTATTCTCCCTTCAATAATATGCCAAAACAGCTACACGTAAATCACCACCATTGACCGTCAAAACTTTAGGTCCAGACCCCAGAATGTGCACTTAGACTAACCAAATCTCCATATCTACACTGCTTGAAAGTCATGCTGACATATGAACCACCATGAATATGATGCAAAAAGCAGTGTTCAGTAATTCTTCATGTCCACTTTTTCTTTTTTAATTGAAAGTTGTTGTCACCTAAAAAAAAAGAATAATTCCTCAATATCCTGCTCATAATCCAAAATATAAGTGATTATGTGAATAAATGGAGACCTGGATAGCTGACCTATATTCTCCAGTAAGGAGACATGCGAATTCAAAGTTTTATGATTCTTGTTCATGAGAAATTGTCAAAAAATTTTGACATGGATCCTGGAAGTCTCCAGGGAAAAGCCAGAAACTGAAACTAAAAAAAGCTTCCTTGTTCCTTGATGGACAGGTTTGGAATTTCAACTTTAATTGCATCATGATTGTAATCATCTTCATTAAAAGAAAAAGAAAAATGAACCAAGCTTACCCATCAAGAAAAATAATCCTTGAAACTCTTAGATAATTCCCTCAAAAAAAAAAAAAAAAAACCCTTTAACTTCACATGCTCATACAATCATACTCTTTGATGAGTAATGATTTTAAGATACAATATGGACTGAGATAATATGAAATATTTTAAACAAAATAATACATCCTTTTCAAGGCCACATGCATTCGGAGAATTCCAATTGCGGGGCCAATGCGGTTATTGCAAGGCGAAGAATTAGGCTTGCGATTTGACAAAGAGCTAATGGCTTGTTTTGACATTTTAGAAAGGGTTAATTTCTAGAATATGTCTCACACGTAAATTGATACACACACATATATATATATATATATATATTATTAATTTGATATTTAAAGAAATATAATTTTTATTTTGACAAATAATTTAATATTTTGTATTATTATTATCAGTTAAGTGATAAACATAATATGAATATATAATAAAATTATATCATATATCATAAATACCTAATTATTATATATTAATTATTGTCATGTTAATTAAAATTTTATTTTTTTCTCCACTCTCCCAAATCTTTTCTTTTATTTATTTTTTAGTTTTAGATTAAATTTTTTTTAATTTTTATTTAAATACTAACATAAAAAATAAATTATATAACAATAATTAAATATTTATATCGCGTGTCATGATTGTATTGAATATTAATATAAAGTAATTAAATTTATTAATGGTGTTAGATTAAAGTAACAAAATATTTGATTGAATGAAAATTTAAATAATACAATGAGAATTTTATTTTTATAAATATCAAATTAACAAAAAAATGAATGATGTATCAGTCATTTTTGTATTTAATTCTTCTAGAAACCTTAAGCATGTAATTCTAGCATGGGTTTTGATTTGAGAAAGAGCTAATGGCTTGTTTTGACCTTTTAGAAAGGGCTAATTTCTAGAATGTATATATGTTTTATTAGTTTGATATTTAAAAAAGTACAATTTTTATTTTATCAAATAATTTAATATTTGATATTATTACTCTCAGTTAAGTGATTGACCTAATATAAATATACAATAAAACTATATCACATATCATAAATATTTAATTATCATCACATCAATTATTGTAACATGAGCAAAAAAAAACTATTTTTTTCTCTCCTTCCAACTTTTTTATTTTCTCTTATTTATTATTATTTTAATTTTAGATTAAAATATTTTTTTTTATTTTTTATTTTAAATGTTGATGTAAAAAACAAATAATGTAATGATAACTGGAAATATATGCCACATTTTATGATTTTATTGAATATTAATATAAAGTAAGTAAATTTACTAATAGTGTTAGACTGAAGTAACAAAATATTTAATAGAATGAAAATTTGATAAAATGAGAATTTTATTTTTTTAAAATACCAAATTAACAAAAAAAATGTATGATATATCAATCATTTTTGTATTTAATACTTCTAGAAACATTAAACACCGAATTCTAGAAGGGGTTTTTAGTGGGTGCCAGAAGCATTACCGAGATTGTAGTTGCTATGGGATACAAAATGATTAGTATCTGTCTTTTCTTTTCTCCATCTGTTAAACTGAATAATTTGTTTAACAGTAACTTGGGATTAAAAAAAGAAACTTTGAATTGAAACTTTGATTCACGAATCATGAACAGGCCATTGGAAATTTATGTCATTAGTCAAAAGCTTCCAATGTTCACATTGATGATTATGTCAGGAGGAACCTATAAAGGCCCAATTTGATGTTTTTGGGTTTCAATTTTTTTCTATTAATTTTTAAACACATATTTAATAATCGTTCATATGTGTAAAACTTAAATATTTATTGTATAAATCATGCTTGTATACATACGCATGGTGATTGATGATTAAATGTATCGCATAAAATAATGAAGGGGAACAGAACAGACCCATGTTTTTCGGCCTGAAAAACATGAAGATTACTGGGTTATATGGTTGCCACTCTGCTTTGGATTTTGATGCCTGCCTGCATCTTACTTTTGGATTGTTCAAGTTCAACTATGAGGGCTGGGTCCCGTGGGCTTCTCAGATATTATTTGGGACCTGATGTTGTTGGTTTTGCTAGACGCTCTCTCTGGCTATGTTTTGTTTCCAGTGCGGTGTGCCTAATAGGAAAGCTTTGAATCCTTCATGGATTCTTCACTGAAAATCAGAAACCTTTTATTGGGCCGTTTGGCCCACGGAAAGGGGTTGGGGGGGGGGGGGGGGGGGATAATGTACGTCCCAGGTTTGAATGGTAGAGAGACAATACAGGCACATCGTTACTTTGCTTGGCTCCGTAGTTAGTACTAAAAGAGAGAAGAACTTGACACCCCGCAACTATCCCATGACTTCTTTGATTCTCATCTACTTCAAAATTGCATCCTAGGTTCAAATGTTTTTGTTACCGAGCAAGGATTCATCCATCTCACCATACCACATATCACAGATTCTCAGCTGCTTTTTATAATTAAATTTTCAAAAGATCTAATCCTAAAATGTTATTATATTAATATAAAAGTATGAATGAAAAAAAAAATTTAAAAATTGAAAATTGATTTAAAATGCTCGATTTAATATGGATCAATTTTTATATTTAATTTAATATCAAATAGATCAAATTTTAAATTGAAATATAAAAAATAAAAAAAATTTAATTTAATTTAATATAATTCAAACCATTATCATTATCAAATAAAAATTTCTTTTAATATAACAACAATTACATGATTTGTCAATAAAAAGTTACATTTTTTATTTCAATAATCAAAATTTAATTTTTAACAACTTCAAATATTAAAAAAAAATCTCTTACTTCAAATACTCTTTCTTGTAATTAATTAATAGAATAAATGCATCTCGAGATAAATTTACATGCAATAAACAATCACACCTCATCTTAAAGCCGTACCACATCAGAAAACACGCGGCATCTCTCGATTAGTGTGGACCGTCCACAGCGACCACCTCTGTTGTCTTCGTCTGGGGGCCGACAACGAAGCAAGTGTAATTGTAAGCCATGTTACCTTAAATTGAGATTGGATTTCCCTTTGGTTTCGGTTTCACCTATAAATACCACATCATTTTCTCAATGTAAACCAACAATTTGACATTCAGCAACAAAGTGTTTATTCAAAGCTCGTATATTAATTACTGATATTATTCTGCTAAATTCCCAACGATATGGAAGGTCATCATGCTGAGGGAGATCGCAACAAGGTAGTGAAAACAACAGATCGAGGTATGTCCGATTTCATGACGAAGGCAGATGAGGATGTGGTGATGGCAAATGCCCACAAGCCAGACAACACAAAGGAGGAATAGAAGCCTACTCTCATGGAAAAACTCCATCGTTCAAATAGCAATTCTAGCTCAGTAAGCCTCTCTAACTTACTTTCTAAATCCCATCACCATACCATACATTTTTATTAAATTACAAGTGTAATTTCTCTTCAGGATCATATTGGCATTTTGCTAAGGATCTTTACTCAAAACGTTTGTGTGTGTGTGTGTGAGTGTTTTTTTTTTTTTTTTTGTTGAAGGAAAGAAGCAACAGAACTCGAATTCACATCAATCCCAACTAAGAATCCAGAGAAGAAAGGCCTTTTAGATAAGATAAAAGAGAAACTCCCTGGTCAGCACAAGAAAGCCGAAGACGGTGCCTATAATGAGCATCCTGCTGAAGATGGGCCTAAGGAGAAAGGAATCCTGGAAAAGATCAACGAGAAGATTCCTGGGTGCCATGGACACAAGATTGAAGAGGATAAGGCCAAAGAAAATTGAAGTTAAACTTGCAAATAAACTATATCATGGGCACATGCTGTCTTAGTTCTTGCATTGTGTTCTTGAGCTCCCTACCTTGGGAGTCTATGGTTTTTCTGTCATTGCATCAGTCATTTGGCCATAATCCAGAAATTTTTTTTTGTCTTTACTTACAACTACATTCTGTAGTTAAGTGTCATCTAACATTAATTCAAAGCTCAGAATTGCATGTAGAAAAGATACTTTTCTACAGGCATAGGCTTCACTTCCCTACCATAAAAAATTCTAACAGAAATCTCTTTATCACAGGACACACAAGGATCAAGTAGCAGATAAAAGCTAAACAAAAACAGCTTTCATGTTTATCCACCATATACAGAAGAAAATCTAACCAATCAGTACAAGATACATGGAAAAAACCACAAAAAGAGGAGCCTAAGAAATCAAATTTAACCAGACATGAAACAAATTCAACTTGTTTTCAATCTTTAGAGACATCGAAAATTTAAATTGCACAAGAGTAGGATCTATTTATTCAGAGCTTCACCGTGTCAGATACATAATACAGAAAAAGCGAGAATTCACTGATTTATACATGAATCTGTCAAATTAAGGGGCTTCCCAAGTTTGTCTCCTCTGAGAGTGACAGAGCATCTGAATTTCCCATAAAACTTGGTCTTTACCAGTCTGCCCAAAATATAAGCCCTTGACCTCATCATAAATGTCAGGTTCAGAGGAACTGTTACACTGTCCAGGTGCTCTCTAGTGTTCACAAGAACTGGTATTCCACCATATAATGGAACTTGATGCCCTTGCACAATCGTCACCACTTTCCGCTGACTCTTTCTTGATTGAGTGAACTTCTTCATCTACATTAGTACATTAATGACAAGCTTATCAGATAAACAAAACATCATCATAAACATCAGCGTCTTAAGAAAGTAAAGCCAAGTGCCTGAAAATATTTCATGACAAGGCTTCTAACTCAAAATTTGTACATTAACACCTTCCATCAGTTTAAAATTTTAAGATAATTGATTAACCAGTTTTCAGCTTTGACTCATCATCATCCCATTACCACCTTTCATCTTCAGCTAAAATCTTGCACATGCTTGAACACTTCGGTTAAGAAACAAAACTGACTGTATAAGCCCAATTGAGTAGCCAAAAGCCAACCATCTTTTTATCAAACCAGGCAAGGGACAATGTTAAAAACCTCAGTTTAAAACTTTGGAACATTCCTTCGTATCCTAGGGGTGAAGTGCGAACTACGTTTGTTCCAAATCCTGGAAGACAGCTAAGCAGCAAACATACTTCTGTCCTATACAAGCAGACGGTCCCTTTTATAACTAAACAAACGAATAGCAATGGGTTTCTCTGTGGGGGACCATTGGGATTATGTTAGGTGCAGTCTTTGCAGCCTTTACAAGGCGCTCTAATAAAGACACCCAATAGCATTCAAAGCCTTCTGCTAATTTTCCCACTTCTCTAGGCTGCTAACCGCTAACCCAAAAAGTCTTTTGACCCAAAAATACTTACCTTCCCCGGTCTAACCCAAACTCCCTTTTTAACCCTCCATTTTTAACTACTAATTGATACCATAAACAAGGATAAACAAAAAGGTTTTACTTTTACCTGTCCAGAGGCAATTTTGAGCTGGAAATAGTGAAGCTCCCAAGGGGTAGAGGTGACATGGACGGCAAAGAAAGTAGCTGGATTTCTGTAAGAAATCTTGACCGTTGAATTTAGTGAAAGCATATCTGTTGGCACCCCTGATTGATCATTTCCTGCCTGATAATGGAAGTTCTCGAAGACTATGTGCTGCTTACAAACCAACACACGTATTTTAGAGAAAAAGGTTTATCAGTAGTGCTTTGATTAAATTAACTAGTAGTATAAATCACAGTTAAACAATTTGAAAAAAAAAAAAAAAGGAAGCTGAAATTATGGGATTAAGCAATTAGAACGGCGCCCATTCCAGATTCCTAGCCCCTAGATATATGTCCACGCCCCCCATTCAGCGAAAAAACTCGTGAACTGAGTCACTGAGTTGACTCACATCGAATAGGGGGTTAATATTCCATCAATGCAAAGAAAATCCCTTCTATTTATGGAACGCCATTCAATACTAGGTGCTAAGTACCAACTATGTTTTCCTAATAATAGATTAGAAGTTCATGATCTACACAGTTTAAGTAAAAACAACTATGATCAGAGAGTTCACAGAAACAGCCCAGCAACTAAAAAGGGCCGGGTGACTACTGAGTCAACTCAAGAAAGAACCAATTTGCACAAAAAAAGGTCTAACCTTGACGAAGATTTCAGGCTTATAACTCCTGCTAGCACCCCACAAGATTAAAGAAAAGACCGTAAACAGCACGAAAAACAAGAAGACCAGGCAAAGATAAAGCCTGACGTTATTAGCCTTGCGTCCATCACGACCTTCCAATTCATCATCGTCGTCGTCGTCGTCATCATCGCCATGACCAATCCGAACATGCTTCCAAGCAGCAAGACTCCTTGGGTTTTTAAGAGAAGCCGAGAACCTTGACGTAGAAGACTCCCTGGAATGGTGAATAGGGGAGCAATGGTAATAATGGTGGGTTGGTGAAGCCGTGGGGCTTGACCCATAAGACATCTTCTCAACGTCATGATTCGAAGGGCTCTGCACATAGTATACAGGCCTTCGTGGTGACCTTGGTGGCCATGACGCATCAATACTCGTTCCTTCTGAATCAGTTTTTGCATGCATTTTTTGGGTCCAACACTTCGAAACAAAGAAGAAGAAGAATAAATTTATGGGTTTGTTTATTAGTGATGGATGAGAAAGGAAACTGATGCAAAGAAAGGAAGTGACAGAGAGGCAACGAAGAAGGGACACACAGTCCTTCCGTTTCGTCTATGGAATCACGAGACACGGAAATTGCTCCATTTTTGTCTATGGAAGAAATATAGGGAAAGAAAACCGCATGCTGGGTTTACTTGCTGTGTAACATTGTTGGCCCACTCAAGATAGAATCAACGGTCATAAGTCAATGATCAGTCATCAATCAACGCCGAGAACCGTTACGACATCTTTAGGTATACTGTTTTCCTCTATGATTTGGACCCACCATGAAATTATTTTCTTTTGTTAAAGAAAAAGCTACTAAACTAGCATACAAATATACCATACAAGCAAGCAATTAGTTACATCAATCCTCCATTTATTAAAAAAAAATAGTCTACTTCATTTACCTTTTCAAAGTCAATTTTTTGTTTATTTTCATCTCGTAATTAATGATAATGTTTTTATTAAATAAAAATTAAAAAAATTGTTTGCTATTATATATATATATATATATGAAGATTTAAATTTAAGAAATTGACATCTTGATTGATCAGATTCTTGACGATTGTAAATTTGAAGGGATTTAAACATATATGTTAGATAAGCATAAGGATTAAGATTTAAGAATAAGTTAAGAATAAATAAAAGAAAAACTCATAAACCTGCAAATCCAACTGAATTGGCCCAAACTTGGGTTAAGATCTATAAATTCAAGCTTGGGCAAAAATAATCATTTAAAAAAGAATAAAATAGAAGCCTATATAGCTAGCCCAAAACTTAACTCTTTAAACTTCAAGCTCCACAAGATTCAAGCTGACCTTGCTTGGGCGGTTGGTCCCGACCAGTTGACGTCCCTTATACCACTTTCAATCAACATAAGCCTCATTAAGAAATGAAAATTACATTACAAAAATTCTAATAGGATGAGATTTATGAACCATCTACGCTTGATTGGTTCTCACAGCCCCATTTCCATGATCAATCTGTCCTGAGCCATCCATACTTGCTTTGTTCTTGACAGCACCATTCCCCTCAATCTGTCCTGCTTCAAACGCTTTTATCAAATCAGGATCAACATTCTTCTCAGTCTCCCAAGTTGCCTCCTTCATTTCAGTCCATTTAACAAGATATTCATACTTGCCATCGTCCCCCATTCTTTTCCCCTCAACTCTATCAGCCACAGCATACTCTAACCCTGCCTCAAAGTCCCTCACCAAATCCTCAGCTACAAACCTTGCTTTAACCCACTCATTATCACTACCATCTTTCCATCTTACCAAGTATTCCAAGTTTTCACCTTTACCTCTCTTCTCCAATATCTCATGCACCTCAGCATACTCAACTATTGAGTCCTCTAAAATCCTGATTACACTTTCAAGCCCAATCTTCTCCCAAATTGCATTGGGTTCCCTTTGGGGGTCACCTTTAAAATATCCTTAGCTAAAGCTAATGGTGTGAAACCCCTGTCATCTTCCACTTCAGGATCCGCCCCGAGATCCAACAATAATTTAGCTAAACCAGGTTTCACATACCGAGCTGCCATATGAAGAGCCGTTAACCCACCAGCATTATCACGATGATCAATATCAGCTCCAGCTTCAGCTAAGATCCTAACACATGGCTCGGACCCAAGACCTGAAACAAAGAGAAGGGCAGTTCTGCCATCCGGGTCTACGGCATTGACGTCACGCCAATCTTCCTCAGCTGCTAAAAGTTCAGCCAAAGCCTTGTCGTCAGCTTTCTTAGCCTCTGTCCACCATGGGGTTTCGTGTTCTGCCACCACATCTTTGGCTATGAAATCTTGTGGAACCCATGAAGGGGCGTGACCGTCTTTCCACTCGATCAAGTATTCCATACCTTCCCCACCTGGGAGAGCTCTGCTACCGATGATTTTGCTGACTTCACCATCGGATTCATCCGCTTCATCTTTAATATTATTTGCTTGGAGTGAGTTCCCTGTTTCTTGGAAGTTGTTTTATTGATTTTGGACAGCGAAGAGAGCAAAACTTCTGTTGGGTTTGACGTGACTTGTTGTCGTGGGAAGTGCTTGGAGGGCTTGGGGAGTAATAGAAAGCGGGACTTATGGTTTTGGGTCAAGATCAAGGCGAGATGGAGTTTGGTTTAACAAGAGAGTTTCCATGTTTGAGATTGTCCGTGGTGTGGGGGAATTGAGTTCATAGAGTTTAGAAAAGCGAAGTTAAGTGGCATTGGGCCATTGGCATGTTGTTGGGTGTAATCTTGAGAAGGGATGATTTTGGGAAAAGAAACGCCATCCATTTTCTTTAGGACAATAATATTGGTGTTGCCTATTGCGATTAATTGGCTTTGATTTGGTCCACGAAAATTGTTCTAGTAACAACTTTGTGGAATAACAAGACAATATCCCATAATGCATCAAATGATGGGCCAATTTCCCATTATCGCTCACCCAATTTCTCTTTACCTAATTGGGTTGCCAAAAGGCTAGGCTAAAACTATTGGCCTGCTTAGATCTCTTTCGGCCATCACACAGGTTCCAGAAATCACAAATGAACAGTAGTCCAACAGGCAATTCAGACTAGAATTCACAATTCCAACGTCCTTCCAATTTCATGAACCATAATTTCATAAAAGACAAAACAAAAGGAAATCAATTAAACGACACTAATTGACATATGACCAAACTTCATTTACAAGTTACAAGTCAGTCTCCTTTTACCCCCTTCAGCATGTGAAAATGGAGATTGTTACCATCGTTGTTCTTTCGTTTCTTTTTGTAAAGCAGTGCAATGATGACAAATTCCATTGATCACAATTGAGGCTAATCCAACTGTGGACTTTTGCATTAAACTAGGGCATTGCCTCTTTTAGATCACTTCAATGTTCAGCTTAATAAAATTAATACAATAGTATAGTTCTTTTCGGTGTTCTATTTTGAGCTGATTATCCTTGATTTCAGGCTGAAAAATTTGGCTGCAAATGCTTTTTTTAAAGTATATTAAAAGAAATCACTTCTGACTAGTAATGGTTTGAAAATTCAGTGATGCTTCCTCGAATGCAATTCTTTCTCGCAACAACAACAACACAGCTCAGCAGCTAAAATGGATAGATTTTCCAACTGGCAAACTCGTCTCTTCAATCACGCCCTAAAAACCAGTCTTATTCAGTTATTTATTTGGAAATAAATTTTTTAAAATAATAGTTATATCATTTTCATGTCATTTTTCAATATTAAAGCACCCCGATTTTACCCTCCTCCAAACATAGTCTTACTTCCTAAAATTATTTTACAGAGACTTGCTTGAAGGGATATAAAAAGATAGGAGTGTGACAACAATGTTGCGTGAAAGGCTTTATCACAATTATAACACGTCTCAACCTTATGGTTCATAGCTAGTGCATGATTTTCTTGCTCTTTCAGCCAAATCAATATATATATATATATATATATATAATTATAACACTTTTTGACTAAGATCCAAATTGTCTGTCTTTTTATTACTAATTACACATAGAAATTAGTCCCCCAATATAACATATACTAATGCTTATGGATGCATCTTTTGCTTGATACTTACTTCTTTACTTTTAAAAAAAATCTAAGAATAAAAAAAAAATTTAAATACTAAATTTTAAATTTTAATTTTATTAAATATTATTTTTTAAAAATAATTATATAATTAGATATAATCAAGAGTCAAACTCTTTGTCTAAATTGGAAGATCGTTCAAATTTTAAGAGATTTTGAATAAAAATTAAAATCTATTTAATGAATTTAAGCATAATTTTTAAATTTATTTAAACTTTGGACTAAAACTTGAATAAAGAAATTAAAGCCCCTGGCTCCGACTCCAATAAACATATATTTTTTAAAAAATAATTGTTTAAAATTTATTATTATATAAATTAAATTTAATAAACGAATTTAAAATTTATTTCATCAATTTGAGTCAAATTTAAAAAAATTTTAAAGCTAAAAATATCAAAATTAAAATAAATATATAATTTATTAATATAAATATAAATTCAACCCAAATCTGATCGGTAAGGAACACAACTATGCATAATCTAATTAAATTAAATTTTTATTTCTATTAGTTCATTGCTTTGAATAGTCAAATAAGTACAAAAATCAAGCCTCAAATAAAATAAAAAATCATCCCTATACAGCATGATATGAATGGGTATGTTTGACTACCAACCACAAATATGAAAACCTCACTGTCATCATTCTGTCGACAGCCCAATGATGGGCGCAAATGTATGTTGAAGAATGTCTCAGAAATCCCATTTCATTACATTCTCCGCGTACAATTATTTCCATAAAACAAAATGCTAATCATCATCCATCTCCTCCGTCCATTACAGTGGGTCCAAAGTTATATAGCAATATAAGCCGTTGATCTTCCTGAGGTGGGCTTGTTAGGTCCACACCAAAGCAATTAACCCGCATGGAAATGCCGTGTGTGGCGTCAGAAATCACGGGGATTCCAACCCCAGCTCACGCATCTGTGAATTTAAGCCCCCCACGCGGTTCCCTTTCATCCTGATCACCTACTTCCACCCTAACAAGGATATTTTCGTCACTACATTGGAATGTAAGTTACGTGTCGGATTCTTAGTGGACAGTTTATTAATGAAAACAAAAAATTCGGGACATATTTGGTGGGTCAATAGCCGCATTCACTACGGCCCCCTGCTAAGCACACTATAAAATCATGATTCACTTCTCCAACCCGCACGAAATCACTCAAATCTTCTTTCAAATCTCCTCTTTTTCTTTTCTTCTTCTTTTTTGGGGTTGGGTTTATTATTTTTATTCATTCATTTGTTCATTTTTTGGGGTTTGGCCTTTTTGGGGTTCCCTATTTGCAGTGCACTCTAAATAAGTCACGTATCAGTTACTATAGACCACATTGAAGTCTCCTGTCCTGAAAAGGTTGTAACCTGTTCGTTGTAGGTTTAAAGAACCCCGTCTGTCTAGCTTCGTAGACCTTCTATATCTTCAGACACTGCCGTAAAATCATATCCAATTCTCTTCTTCTCCATCAGGAATCAGGACCATAAAAATGATGCTTACAGGATCCAGTTTTTTGCAAAGAAGTGTCACCCTATTGGTTCTTGCTGTTGTTGTTGTTGTTCAGGCTGAGGATCCTTACAGGTTCTTCAACTGGAATGTTACTTATGGTGATATTTCCCCACTTGGGGTTCGCCAGCAGGTTAGTAAATTGCTATATTATGCTATCAGTTTTTTTATTGATTTCTTCTCTATTCCACATCTGGTTTTAGCTATCATCTGAAAGATACGTTTTATTTGTATTTGACAGGGAATTCTTATTAATGGGCAATTTCCAGGGCCTGATCTCTATTCTGTAACCAATGACAATCTCATCATCAATGTCTACAACAATTTGGATGAACCTTTTCTTCTATCATGGTGAGATACTCCGACGAGTATATTATGCTTTTTTCTTCTAAAAAGGAATTCCCATTCCATGAGATACATTTTTTCTGGAGATATCCATTATAGTATACTAGGCATTAGGCAGCTTAGAACTGATCACAAAATTCTATACGTATTTAATGACTATGGTTATTTCTTATTTGCTGTTGCAGCATAAAAGGAGATATATTTAAGAAACAATTGGTGTGTAAATCTTGCATAAAATATATATATAACAATTTTTTTATGAGAAATACTTAAAACTTCCTCTTGAATATCAAATCCAAACAGCAGCATTCCAGCTTTTGATGGTGATGCCTATTCATTTTAGGATATAAAGTACAAAATTGAATTCAGCACCTATAAGTTGGCAGTAAGTTGCTATTAAGACCTCACCTTTGACTTTAGTTTGTTTTTCAACATGAAATGTGATTGGTTGGCCACTCTTACACGAGGTTATATACTATGTTAGAAATTCCTTTTTATTATTATGGAACTAATATTGGGTTTCAATTGGCAATTAAAAAACAGGAATGGTGTGCAGCAAAGGAAAAACTCATTCGAGGATGGAGTTTATGGCACTACATGCCCAATTCCTCCGGGCAAGAACTTCACTTACATTTTGCAGGTGAAAGATCAAATCGGCAGCTTTTACTACTTCCCATCTCTTTCTTTCCACAAGGCTGCTGGCGGCTTTGGAGGCATCAAAATCCTCAGTAGGCCCAGAATTCCTGTCCCTTTCCCGGACCCTGCTGGTGATTTAACCGTTCTTATTGGAGATTGGTTCAAGACTGACCACAGGGTAAATAAACAATTTATTATAAAAACATTTTATTCTTTATTTATATGGTAATTACGAGAGTAATTTGATGTAATTTAACAAATTGTTTCTTATACTAATTATTTCAGCAATTGAAAGCAAAGCTAGATGGTGGTCATAAGCTTCCTTTCCCTGATGGTATTCTGATCAATGGTCATGGGCCTAATGATGCATACTTCACAGTTGAACAAGGTACAGTTTCTGCTAAATTTAACCATTTTCTGGAGTAAATTTAGGGCTTACTTGGACAGTTGAACTTCAATTTGCTTTTGCGATATGATAACAATGGGTATTGTTTGGTGCACCACAGGCAAAACTTACAGGTTTAGGATATCAAATGTTGGGCTTCAAAATACACTCAATTTCCGCATTCAAGGTCACAAAATGACGCTGGTTGAAGTAGAGGGAACCCACACGGTCCAGACCATCTATGAATCACTTGATGTTCATGTGGGTCAGTCCTACTCTGTGCTGGTTACCATGGATCAAGCTGCTCAGGACTTCTACGTTGTGGCCTCAACCCGTTTCACCAACAAGATCCTTACCACCACTGCCACTCTTCATTACAGTAACTCAAACAAGGCAGTTTCAGGCCCCATTCCTGGTGGACCAACGTACCAGATCGATTGGTCTCTTAATCAGGCCCGATCCATTAGGTGAAAACTTGGATCCATTTATAATAGAGTTCTTCTAAATGCACCATCCTTTTCGCTTTTCTTACTTCAACCTTTTTTTTTTTTTAATATATATATAAGTAAAATTATTTAATTATTTTTTTATAAATTTTCGGATATCTTTATTCGTTACAATATCCTTACTCGTATATTTGAACAGTCAAATTCATTTCATTTTGGGGCATTTCAGGACTAACCTAACAGCAAGTGGACCAAGGCCAAATCCACAGGGATCATACCACTACGGTCTCATTAACATTACCAGAACAATCAAGCTAGCAAGCTCAGCAGATCAAGTCAATGGAAAGCAAAGATATGCTGTTAACAGTGTATCTTTTGTACCAGCTGATACACCTCTTAAGCTAGCTGACTACTTCAATATTGAAGGTGTTTTTCGAGTTGGAAGCATCTCAGTTAATCCAACCGGTAAAAACATGTACCTTGACACATCGGTCATGGGTGCTGACTATCGAGCCTTTGTTGAAATTGTATTTGAGAACCATGAAAGCATTGTCCAGAGCTGGCATATTGATGGATATGCCTTTTGGGTTGTCGGGTAAGAACTTACATAATAACCAAGTCAAAATTTTGTTCTCTGATGCAAATCCAAGTTTTTTTTTCCCTGTAACTTACACTACTTTTATATGGCAGCATGGATGGAGGATTGTGGACTCCGGATAGTCGTAAACAATACAATTTAAATGATGCAATTTCACGCTCCACCACACAGGTTAGAAACTTATAGATTTATTTTGGACCATCACTTTTAAAAATTACTAAAATTATGGCTGATAGCTAATGGCCAATGTGATCCATTGGTAGAGTTATGAACTCTTAATTTCAGTTATCAGTGTTCGACTTCAAATGCCAACAAAAATCTAAAATGATGATTGGTGTTGCAGGTATATCCTAGATCATGGACTGCTATTTACATGGCTCTTGATAATGTTGGAATGTGGAATGTGAGAACTGAATATTGGGCACGGCAATATCTTGGACAACAATTTTACTTGAGAGTATATACACCTGTGAAGTCAGTCAGGGATGAATATCCCATTCCAAAGAATGCTCTGCTTTGTGGCAGAGCCATAGGAAAAAGCACAATACCTCTCTGAAAAATTTGCAGCCGAAATTGTTCTGAATTAACCATTACAAGTATAAAATGACCACAGCATTAAGGTCTCGGTTCTTTTTCAACAGAATTTCTATTTGGTTTGTAACTATAGAATTGCCAATAAATGCATTCAATTAAACATTCTTTTGCTGAGTAAAGATTATAAGGTTCAGTTTCTGTTATAAACAATGTGTGTAAAGCTTACTCGACTTTTAATTTCTTTCATTCAGGCCAATTCTGGCCCTTCCTATTTGCATTTGTTTTTCAAACGGCACACTGAATGCAGAAGAATCCTTTTGTACTCACACAGCTAATCTTTGCTCAAATCGCCATGAATACAGTTTTTGTATACTTGATAAATGTATTATTGAAATTGTTTTTACCAAAAACAATCTGGTATCTCAAAAATAGGCATTCCGCCAATTCTAACTTGAATTCATAGATATAAGAAACTGCTTCCAACAAACAAAATATTTTAGTGCACAAAGCTGGAAGAGAAACAATGTAGAAGATTATAGAAGAACCAAACTTGGATAACAGCTAAAGAAATAAATTACAATAGATTCTATATTGCTACATATATGAAGTCATAGACACTATGGTGGAAATAGCTCATTCTGACCAATATTTGATATATTTACATGGTTAATAGGTAAGAAGGGATCAAATCTGGTTGGATAGTCTTCTATTTCACATCAGCAGACCCAGTTCTCTCCTGAAAAAAGCCCAAAAATTTTACTACTTGTCTAGGTATCATCCAATGCCATGGTTCCAGAACTTGACAACTCATATTGTCTCCACAAATCTGTTTCACCTATGGAACCAAACCCATTTAGAAGTTGATCTTTCTCCCTTTGCATCACTAGCCAGTACTCTGAGTCCTCAAATAACCTTAATATCTGTCCAAATATAGAAACAACATGATCCTCATTGATCGGAACATTTTCTATACTGTTGTAGCTATTTGAAATCTGAATTCAAGTTTTAAACATTTACTTAATGCCTCCTATTATATAACTCTCTACTACTTGTAGGAAGAAAAAGTAAAGTAGCTGCTTTAGAGTGGTTGTTCAATCAAAAGGAATGGACATATTGTTCTAGCCTCTAGGGTCTTATTCAGTTATGACATGGTCACTGTTAGTGAGAAAGCAAGAAAAATAATCGATTATGGTGGAACCCGAAGATGATACACAATGTCCCAGAAGTGAGTCAAAAAGCAATTTCATTGAAGTGACAAAAGAAAAAAAAATTCACCGTTTTTATTGTTGGCCTTTGAGAAGATGAATGCATAAGGCAGAGGCGTGCTATAAACATCATTACTTCCAACTCTTCCTTTTTGTAATTGTTGCCCAAGAAAGGATCAACTAGACGCTCACATAGGCCAAAGCGGAGTAAAGATCTTGCCTGCAAGAGAGTTGGACAGAATACTTGAAGCTTTGAGATACAAAAACTTAATTTCAGGCTTAATGTGTCAATAGATTACCCAAAGTACCAAGCTTTCATGATTTGTCTGGTTTATTTGAATAGCCTCTTTCCCTGTAATAAGTTCCAGGAGCACAACTCCATAAGAATAAACATCTATCTTTTCATCAATCTTTCCACACACCATGTACTCCGGTGCCAAGTATCCAAAGGTCCTAACAATGTCAATTGGCTTTGTGTTTGCTGGAACTTGATAAGATTGATTACGCACTATTGCTGCTCCAAAATCTGAGAGCTAAAACAAAATGATGAAATCCAAAATAAATTGCGAGCATGAAAAGTGAATTCACTTTAGAACTATTCGGAGGCAGATGCAGATATATTAGCAGATACCTTAGATTTAAGAATTTAATGTTGGTTGTGTTAAGCCCACAAATTATTCTTCTTTGGCCAAATTATTTGTCTCAATAAATGGGTTAACAAAAGAAGTTACAGAATTAGTTGATCCTACAAATTTTGTTGCAGTCTCAAAACTAACGTTCTCAAACAGTTCCATTTTGATCAATCTTCATTCTCCCACTAAGATTATTATACAGTCTTCATAATATTGTGTTTTAGGAACAAAAAGATAGGAGAATTCAAATTGAGGGTCCTTAAGAAACAGATTCGCATTGCTAATGGGATATTAATCAGAGTCGTTTAGGATCTAATTGTTTTATTTGGTGATTTAGTGCAGCTTCTTTACCTTTGCTTTAGTTTCTTCTGGTTGTGCTGTGTATCTATTGTAGCAGACTTAACATGTCGTAATGGTAGTGTCTTTTTCCCAGTAAAATAATTAACAGAAGAATGTATCTAGCATGGAAAATCCTACTGACAAAAGGCGCCATAGAGAAGAGAAACTATATCTTATAGTAGTTGTCCTGGGCAGACTTGAAAGAGATTAACATAAGCATTACAGACATTCGAACGTTGGTGTAGAACTTACTTGTGGTTGGCAATTATCAGAGAGAAGTATGTTAGATGGTTTCACGTTTCTGTGAATGATGGGAAGGTCACAACAATGATGAAGGTACTCCAGAGCCTTGGCTAAACCGATTGCAATACCCATCCTCTCAGGCCACTTGAGTTGTTTTAAACATTGTTTCAAGCTTCCGTTTAGAAGATTATAAACGACTGCTTGCAACTCTTTGCTATCACAGTACCCAATTATCTCAACTATGTTCTCGTGCTTTATGCTGGTCAACATCTCAACTTCTCGGAGAAGATCCTTTGCAGACCAATGTGTGTTTTTGAGGACTTTCACGGCTGCAGCTTGACCATTCTCTAGTTTAGCTCGATACACCAAAGTATTTCCTCCCTTTCCAATCACCATGGCAGGGCTGAAATTATCCGTGGCAACACTCAGCTCTTCCGATCTAAAACGCCTGCAGGATCTCTCTGCTTCTAGGAATGCCATTTTGTGAAACCGCCTTTCATTGACATTTTTCTTAAGCCTCTGCTGTCGTCCACTACCAGTTTGCGATGTAGATGATGATGCAGAAGATGGCATTGTAAATGACTTTTTAAGCTGATGTTGAGGAACTGTTTTCTTGAGAATGTACTGTCCTTCACTCTCAATTTGACACATTGACGGAGATGTTGAAGGCAATGGTATGGTCAAGGACTTATGTAACTGACGGGAGGTTGTTGATTGATCAACCACAGAGTTCATCTGGGAAGATGATGTATAAGATTGAAGAGTTACATCTGCAGAACCTTGCTGGGAAGTTCCCTGCCTTCGGATTAGGATTCTTCCTGCATCGTCCATCACGAGAAGGGTACAGGTGGGAGGTAAACATTTGAGACAAGTGCTTACAGTTGAATACTTTGGCCTACAGGAAAAGATAACCATAGAACTATCAGACAGATAGATATACAATTACATAAGCAGTCTTCTTAGTTATCAGATTCATTACCCTGACAGGTTGCATCCAATTGCAAGGGTTGTTGCATAAGTTTCTCGAACTTGATGAGATAACACAGAGATATAGGAGTTTCCGGTGCAAATTTTAACAAGAAAATCAACCTGCATTGGCAAGCAATGAGTATACCAGCTAATAGATAAATCAGTCCTGTTCTGTAATGTCTTTCAGATTCACTAAATTGGTGTAGAATCAGAATCCCTTACCTGCTTGGATTTACAGAGATCTTCATGGATGTGAAAAGTGTTAGGGTCAAAAGCATCATTCCTTTCTTGGACATGCACTGCTAACACATTGTCTCCTGACTTGACAAAGAGACCGAGTAACTGGAGTAGCATTTCCCGGCTGCAGTTATCGGATTTGAGGCCAACTATTATAGTTTTGTTCTTCACTGTCCTGCCACTCAAGTATGACATAATTCTGCAATTGATCCTTGCATTCCCACACATGATCAAGAAGATATCTTACGATCGTCAGGCACCATTCCATTTCATAAGGGAGTATCTTTTGACAAATTTCTTGCAGATTTTAGGGTTTAGGAATTTGTCCTATTACTGGAACAGAACAGGACACTGCTTTAAATCTATTTACGTACATATTGTCCCAATTGGCTAATGCACTTACTACAGTTAGGTAAGTAGTTACAACAAGATCTGAAATGCCGACGCGGAAGCACCAGAGGGGGGTTCAACTTTGACTAGTAGTGCTTGAACACCACTTTCATAGTTCCATGTATAAAGGTAAACCACACTTTACATTTCTCGAAAGAGAATTACAGATTGGTAACGCAATGTACTTCAAAGTTGCAAACCCACTTCATGAACATGAATCTAGTCTCCAACAATAACAATTCTTTAAAGAGAGCCTATATTTTTGTTGCAAAGTCTATAATCCAATACAATGTTAATAAAATGTGGGCTCCATCCCGATGGGATTAGCTATTCATTGTTTAGATTCCACTCAGTTTAATAAAAGATATGATTGGACTGTTTCCCTTTCAATTATAGTCTTTGGAAAATCTTTGGATATAAGACTGGGCCAAAATCTTTGAGATCTAGGACACCCGACAGGCTTATTGATCATCATGATAATTTGTTTAAGCCGTATTTGGGTGAACGGTGGGCAGGAAATTCAATGCTACGCTGCGTACACAAGTATTATTATCAAGGGTCAAGGCATCCATATACAAACGTCAATGATGGAGATAATAGACAAGCCAAGTTTTATGAACGAACAATAGCAATATTTGCCTCCGCTGAGCTGCATATCTACATCTTTAACAAGTCTTTGGATATACATTTAGGTATTGTAATTAAATGAAAGCAAAACAAATCTTTTAAAGAGAAGATGGTTTCGAGAATAAAAAAATAAAAAAAAAAAGCAAAAATTGTTAAGACCATGCAGAGAAAGGGTGTTATGAAACAGTATCTCAACGTCAAATATGTATCTTTTTATTCAAATTATATCACATGATCACATAATTAAAAAAAAAATCAACTATTTATATTACGAAAATCACTAATTAATCTCTTAAAAAAAGTTTTCATCATTTAATTATCATATATAATGTATAATAAATAATTGACGTTTCCTAATAATGTTATTATGTGACATAATTTGAATGGAAAGAATATACGCAGAAGTGAGATAATGTTTCATACCACCTGGGCATCAAATCCATGATATCCTTAAGAGGAGGAAATTTCTAAGTTTGTAAACAATCGTTGAGGTGATGTTCTTATCTGAAATATCAAGTAAAATTCATTCTCATATAACACCAAAAGATTGAGCAAGGAAATTTATTGTTTAGCTCATCCTTATGACAGGAACCTGTAACAACTTTTCCGTCAAGGTACCAAATCAGAAGTAAGAAATTACCATTCAACTAAGAGCTTATGTTATGGTATGGTCATTAAATGAAACAAATTAATGCACATTAAGTGGTGATGTGGGTTGTTCAACCACTAGTGGACTTGGCTGGCCCTACTGGAACAATGATACGCACATCATATTCTTTGATCGAGAGAATTGAATGGTATTTCCAGAAAAGCATCCTCAAATAAGCCTATGCCAAAAAGCTGCACATCCTTTATCGTGTACAGCATTTAACCACAATACTACATTTAACAAGATTTAAATAGATGAATGAGGATCCAATGGATACACCGCAAGAAAAATACCTTCATACACTTACTGGATCAACATTTCTTGTTCAATCCAGAGTTCAAAGAGGCCAAAAACCTTTAAAATGTGCCATTCAGTAAATTTAATAAAACTTGGCATCCAAGAATTACCACATTTTTTCATGGAAAATCAGAAAGAGGAATCCCATAAAATTGATAAGCATTCCAATTATCCAGTCACGTTGACCAAAGCTGCTTGAGAAGTATCACTAAGAGGCAAGCGTCCTCAGACCTTTACAGTCATTGCAACAATTTGCATTTGCTAATCCATCCTCCACAAAAGCCTTTATTTTCCACTAGATTCTTACCGCTAGTAGACTTCTATGTAAATAAGCAAAAACAATCAGTCTAGTCACATAATAATGACTTAAAACTTTGGATTGCAGTAGATAACATAGAGGCAAGCCTAAAGTGATTTTAGTCACACATGCATATCATGTATCAAATCTTAGTTGATCCACAAGGAGAGACAGGTAAACCTTAAGGGGATGTATCTTATTTTTGCAACTTAATCAGTAATGTGCACAATCTATGCCAAGTAACTAAACAATCTTTTCTGGCTCTTAACAAAGGGAAAAAGAAAAGAAGGCAAACAAACCATAGTTAAAGCAACTAAACAAAAGAGGTGGGATCTTCAACAGAGTAATAATAAATAATAATTATTATTAACTCAATCAAGTTTTATTTAGTTTTAAGCACTAGGCAAACACTACACATATAATAGGCCAAAAACCAACACAAGTTTATAAACCAGAAATGCATCTTTGCATACAATATGTTCCAAGCAAAACTCGCCTGCTATTCTAGCCTCAGGAAAATTTAGCAGTGATCACTCAGCAATCTGCACATCCAAAACAAAAATTATGTTAGGCAGCACGAACACTAGCAATCATTCATTGGTTGACATTTGACAACAAAACCTAACCTAATAAACCCATCAGATTATTTCATGTTAACAGAGGGGATGAACAAGGCCTTGGTTCAAAATTGGCTATAAACTTGCCTGGTTTAGAGGATTGTCCGGAGATTTCTTCCATAATTTCCATAGCATATCCTTGTATTGAGTATGAGTAAGACCCGGCTTCTCTTCTTTAAGCCTGGGAAGCTCAGCTTCTTCAAATGCCTACATTCATTCATAAAATGCCGCGCAGTGAGGTGAAGATTAAGGAACTAAAATATACTATCCTATAAATCTAATCACGAGAGTAATTGAAATTCAGCAACCCAAGAAGGTGGTGAGTGTAACGTACCTTAAAGGAGGCCTTAAGCCGCCTCTCAGGGTGGCGATCCGCCGGAAGATCATCCGCCACAGACATCTGCGCAATTGCCTCCTCCACACTCCTTGCTTCAATAATCGAATCATCCCTATTCGTGTTCGTCACTAACACCATCCTCTCATACTCTTCTTCCGCCGCCGTCCTACTCTGCCTCTTCTTCGCCTCCTCCGCTTTCTTCGCCATCTCCGTTTGCTCCTCCTCCCTCCTCTTCCTCAGCTCCACTTCCGTCACCTTCGGCACCGGAATCGACACGCGGTTCGCCTTCTTATCCGGTTTCTTCGTCGCTTTATCGATCTCTTTCTCCTCCATCTCGGCTTGACGACGCGCCTCCGCACGGCGAGCCGCGGCTTCAGCTCGCTTCTCGGCGTCTTCCTCGCGTTTCTTGGTAGCCTTGGATTTGGGACCCTCGGCTTCGCGCCAGTACTGCTCTTCTTTCTCCCTGGCTTCCCGCTCTTTCCGATCTGCTTCAGTCGCGCTTTTGCGCGCACGCGCCGCCTCGGCTTTGCTATTTACGCCCATCTTCTTCGGCATCTTGTAGTCGATTTGGGCCTGACTTAAGGTTTTTTTTTTTTCCTTTTTTTGATTTGTTGATAAATTAATTAATCTGTAAAAATTACTTTAAAAAAAAAGATTTGAGAAGTGAGAATATTCTAGAGAAATGTTGATTTTGCTTTGCCGGACACCGATTATCAAAAAAGAGCGGCAACAATTCAGATCCAGCTTCTGATTTGACACATTTTTAGTTTCTTTTTCTCCATTTATTATTATTAATTTATTTTAAATTTTTGTAATATTAAAATTAAATAAAATAAACGCATGATTAATATGGTCATTTCAAGCCCAGTCTATTCCAAATTAGACCCAACTAGTGGAAAAACCTCTTGGGCTTTTATGGGTTTGCAGACCTTAACCCACTAGCCTTTCGCCTTTTTTTTTTTCCTTTGAAAAAAATAAATCTAAGATTTCAACCAAAATCTCATTTAATTTTTTCTAGCATTGAGTTTTTTTATTTTTTACTATAAAATAAAAATATATGGAGATTTAAATTAGAGAACTTTGGCATGGTTTTCAACTTTGAATCGTACCAAATTTGCATAAAATTTTCTTTACATAATAAAACACCTATAATATTATGATTCAAATTTTAAATTTATTAATATTATTTTTTTAAAATGATTACATAAATAAATTTGAATTAAATTTCGGGTTCGGATGAATATTTGAATAATAATTTTAAACAAATAAAATACTTATATATTATATAGATATAGATATAGCATGAACCATTCATAGAGAAGCTACCAAACTAAATTGGTATGAGAACAAACTAACTGCCATATTTAATGTGGCACCTATCTTCTTCAATATTTTCAATATCTAACTCCACTTTTTCACCCATTAACCATTTCTTCACTTTTGCACCCGCCCCCCTTTGGTTTCTCTTCTATCATCCATTATTTGCTCATTATTCTTCTTCCTCTATTGCTTAACTTTGGCAGCTACTGATGCAGAAAAAGTAAAGTTTTCCAAAAAAAGACGTGCGTGGATACCTCTCCACGGCTAAATTTTAGGTAGGGATTTTTAAGTTCGTACTTTAATATCTTAAAATATTAAAAACAAATTATGGTAAGAAAAAAATTTAAAGTAAATAAATTATTCAGTATTTCATATTAGAGTAAGATATATTATAAATAATAATTTAAAATTGATGATTTTAAATCGTACATTCGAGATGACTTCAACAAGTAATCATCGATAAAACTTCGATCTAATATCTCATCATTAAAGAAAATGAACTTTAATCGATTAAATCAATCACTTATTAATAAATTTTTTCGAATTGAATATTGAATAAAAACTTTTAAAATATCAACCAAACTTAATCCAACCCAATTAAATTCATAAACATTTTAATATGTAATTATAGCAAATAAAACATAAAGCTTACAGGTGTAACGGTAAAGTAAATTATTAGGGCTGTTCCTTCCGGTTAGTGTCTTTGTGGAGGAAGCAAATTTGTTTCGTATGTAATATTTTTTAAAAATGTTTTTTAAATATACTCATACAAAAACAAAATTTAAAGCAGCTTTGCTGTAGTGCTTTTGGCTTTAATTGATTGTTCATACTTTTTATTAATTAGGAAAACACATTTATTTATCATCCCAACACATGTCTTTGGGATTTACTAACTTTTTTCGTAATCAGTGGTACTATTAACTCCACATTCCAATCTCAATTAACAAATTAATTGTTAATTAATTACCCATTAATAAAAGTCACTTGGTCAACCATCATACATACATAAAATAAATGACCGTCCATCCAAGATCCCTTATCAAATATCAACTATTCCTATGAAATTAATTAAATTAAAACCAACATTTTTTGTTGTATTTTTATGTTGTTAATACGATCAAGTGTTTCAATTATTAAGATTTTTTAAAATAAATTTTTAATAAAATATCATAATTTAAAAATAAAACAAGTATTAAAATTAAAAATTTATTAAATATTATTACTTAAATTAATTAAATTAAAATTTTAATTTTTATAAGTGATTTTAAAATTCTATCATTCTATTATAATATGATACGTACAAAATTTTATAAAGTCGAATTATAACGGAAAAATAAATAGAGCTCTTAATTTACCAACTACACTAGCCTTAGCCTTTTATTATCTTTTCCTGATCTAAAAAACAAACAAACGAAACCGCACCTTATTAACCTTAGCACTGTAATCAAAGATCAAATTCATATAGTACCCGACCAGCCGACCTATGATGTTTTTTAAGCATCAACTGAATCACGTGCATGAAACTCCATCGCAATCAATGTGGTCCTCAGTCCGTCAGGGACAATATAATTCCACCCTACTTTTAATCAAAATAACATGCACATGGGTCCTACGTCAACGGCTCTCATCTCAACCATCGACCTGATTTTGACCGCCGGTCAAAATTTATAAGATTTTAATGACGCAAAGGTAAATCTCCTTCGAGGAAATCAACGAAGTGTAGAGTGACACGTGTTAAACAAGTTTGCTTTTGGTTGATATCAACTGCTGATGTGTGGCGTGTCCAAATTTGAAAAACGTGGTATCGGTTGTAGACGTAACGATATCCGACATCGATTACTTCTCTTCCACACAATGTCAGGCTTTTGGCCGCTAAAGATTCTTTCCACATCCCGACCGTTAAATGCCGCGTGGGTCCCACTCTCCTTTCAACGGCTAAGATTGCATCGAACGATCCCGCCCCAAACTTCCAAAGCCACATGAATTGCACTTCTCACTGACAAAGATAAAATTTAAACCCGATTAATTTCCCAATCAAACCAGTGCCGTAGGGATGCGAGCTCATGTTATTTTTAAATGTAAACTACCGCTTTCTAAACTTCACTCCCCCCGGCAAAAAAGCTAACCGCCGTTTGGTCCGTTACTCCGTTTCACTCCCCATTCCCTCCAAATCAGCAACGGGGCTCCACACCATCCCTTCCACGGAAGCAAAATTCGCGCCGTGCAAAGGAGTAATCCAGCCATGGCATCTTCGTAAACCAACGTGGCAAGAAGAGCAACGGGTAACAAACGGTGAGGTGTGAACTGAAAAAGAATCGTGTAAAATAATTATTACACATCTGCCTTTGTTTTTAAATTTAAATTATATCATAAAATTATATTTTTGAAAAATTAATTAATTATTATATTATATTTTATAATTAACTAACAAATATTTATTTTAACAAATTTATTAATAATTTTGATAATAAATAACATTACATGACTAATTTAAATAAAAAAGATATATACCGACATACAATAATTATTATATATAAATATTTTTATGTAAAAACTTATTTTATAGATCATTCCACTTGCTTTTTGATAGAAAAATTTTGAAAATCTCCCTACCACATTTAAATCTAATAAAACAAACATTTTTATCCAAACTAATATTAAACTGTCTAATTTAATAGGTATTATGAGTCAAGTGATACAAATTTAATTAAAAAATTATAGAAAATAAAAAATATTAGAATAAAAATGAAATAAGAGACATTTAGTTTTTTTTATATTTTTTATAAAAATATTTGTATGCCATTTAGGAAGAAATTTAGCCACATAATTAAAAATGCCACGGTGGCAATGGAGAAACAGAAAAAAAAAGGGAAATACTGAGGGGTCCCAAGGAAAAGGTAGGTATCGGGTGGTAAGGTAAACTGTGACGGAAAGACAAGCAACTGTCAAACGCTGTCTCTTTTGCTTTTGCAAAAAAAAAAAAATCATCAGTAACAGTAACAGTACTAAGCACACACATTAACAATCTTACAGAGAGAAAACCAAAGAAAAAGTTTCAGTGCTTATAGAGAGAGAAAGGTGAAATAAAGGGATACATATCAGAGAATGTGAAAGATTTCTCTTATCTCTTTCACTTTATTTCTCTAACCAAAGCGAGAGCCAAAATTTTCTTCTCATTGTTAGCAAATGTGCGGCTGAGCCATTTTTTTTTTTTTAGCCGTTGGATCTTGTGAGTAAAGATCATGGGGAGTGTATCTTCTGATGATGGCTCTGATCAGCAGAGTGAGCGGTGTGGGAGTTATAATTTGAGTGCTGATGTCAGTGAGTCGGAGAGTTGTAGTAGCTTTTCGTGTCGGCGGTTCGATGGGGAAGGCTGTTCGAGTTCGATGACCTCATCTCCGAGGTTACAGGCTGCTGGAAGGTTCGGTTTTCACTGGCCGTTGATGTTGCCGGTGATTGGAGGGAAAGATGTCGTGATTTGGGACGATGAGACTCCTGAGAAACGGGACACCGATTTGTCCGGTATTTCCCATTTCTTTGTTTATTTTGGTATTTTTGCTTGCGAAATCTTCGTTAATTATAGACTTACACAAGAGGAAGATTTACGCTGAGTATATATCTGAGTGAAATGATTTTTCTTGTTTCTATTTATAGCAACAAATATAATTATGATCTTTCCTGTGCCTCATAATTGCAAAAAAATGACAGTATGGAGGCGAAATAAAGAAAAAAATTGCAGCTTTTACAACATAGTTAGTATTTCCCTACATTGGTTATTTTTATTTTTCATTTCACTGATTTCCGTAATGTTTTCAATGTTTTGTAGAAGTTGAGATGATGAAGGAGAGATTTGCAAAGCTCCTTTTAGGAGAAGACATGTCTGGAGGTGGGAAAGGAGTGTGTACTGCACTTGCCATTTCGAATGCCATCACAAATCTCTCTGGTTGGTGTGATTTTGCATATAATTTCTTGTACTACGTAGTTTTATGTATTCTATAAATTTTGTTTTAAACTAAATGGTACTTTTTGTTTGTAATGGCAGCAACTGTCTTTGGTGAGCTGTGGAGGTTAGAGCCATTAGCACCACAGAAGAAGGCAATGTGGAGAAGAGAAATGGAGTGGCTCCTGTGTGTGAGCGATTCAATTGTTGAACTTGTACCATCAATACAACAATTCCCTGGAGGAAGCACATATGAAGTCATGACGACAAGGCCACGCTCAGATTTGTATATAAACCTTCCTGCCCTCAAGAAGCTTGATGCAATGTTGATTACCATGCTTGATGGGTTTCGTGAGACAGAGTTTTGGTATGTTGATCGGGGGATAGTTGTGGGTGATGGTGGTGACTGTGATGCTTACCCATTATCTGTTTCTGGAGGGAGGCCCTCGATTAGGCAGGAAGAGAAGTGGTGGTTGCCATGTCCAAAAGTGCCACCAAATGGTTTGTCAGAGGATGCAAGGAAGAAGTTGCAGCAATGTAAGGATTCCACAAACCAAATACTGAAGGCAGCCATGGCCATTAATAGCAGTGTACTCGCGGAGATGGAGATACCTACTGCATACTTGGAGACCTTACCAAAGGTATGTGACTGTGTTTCTCAAATAATGACATTTCTGCAGTCTTGCTGAAAGCCACATAGCTATCATGCATTGGTTCTGTTCATTTGCTAACAATTTTTGAATGTTAATGGTTGACACTCAACGTTGATCTGTCAATTTGGGGACTCATAATTTTCTAATGAGCATCTCAATCAAGAAACCTGTTGTTAAGTAAGGTGATCAAAGTAGGATTGAAAAGTTAAGAATAGCTTTTGAAGGGAATGGACATACATTATTAGGTTTCTCCCATTGAACGACAAAATGACAGGTGCATTTTGATGTAGCATTGAATAATTCTTGAAAATTGACTCTCTGACAGTTATTGTGAACCAACTTTTTTTGAGCATTACTTTTTCTGACATTTGATTGAATTTTTAACAAAATTTCCTTGCCATTTGATGTCTGATTGCCATCAGAATGGAAAAGCTTGTCTAGGAGATATCATCTACCGCTACATAACAGCTGATCAATTCTCTCCAGAATGTCTCCTTGATTGCCTTGATCTGTCAACAGAACATCACACTCTGGAAATAGCTAATAGGATTGAGGCAGCAGTACATGTTTGGAAGCAGAAAGATCAGAAAACATACATGAATCACATCAAAGTTAAGCGCTCATCATGGGGTGGAAAGGTCAAGGCCCTCGTTGCTGACAGTGAAAAGAATAATTTTCTGGCGCAGAGAGCTGAGACCCTCTTACATAACTTGAGGCTTCGTTTTCCTGGTCTTCCACAGACAGCATTGGATATGAACAAAATTCAATATAATAAGGTATTTTGCACCAATTCTTTATGGAAAAAAAAAAAATAATAAAACAGAAGTATGAATTATCTATATTGTCCACTACATCAGATAATTATTCCAGCATGTGTCTGCCAAACCATGTGGCCTAATAAATGTGATTTGGGAGCTCCTTGGTTAGTGAGGATAAAACCAACTTATGTTTCCTTCTTGTATCTTTATAAATGTGTACCATCAACCCTCTTGGGACCACAGCTTTTTAATGGGGTAATGGGGCATATAATGAGCGATTTACAATTAACATTTTCTTGTTTTGGTAATCTCTCATAAAGTGGAAGGGGAATCTCCTCTACTAGTTGGTACATTGTGTATGCAGTGGTTCCCACGATGTTTTTGGTTTGCATCCTTCTTCTTGTTTTATAGAGAAGAACTTAGTAAGTTACACTGAAATAGCCCCCTTTTATTATCTTTAATTGCAGGATGTTGGGCAATCAATTCTTGAAAGCTACTCAAGGGTGATGGAGAGTTTGGCCTTCAACATTATGGCAAGAATAGATGATGTCCTTTATGTTGATGATGCTATCAGGCGCTGTGCGGCGGCAGAAACAATCTCCCTCTTCAGCAGGAGTGGTTTGAGTGGTCTCCCAATCCAGAAGCGAATGTCTCCAAGTCCCTTCTCAATGCAGCACACTCCTTATGCCTCTCCTTTTGCAACACCAACCTTCTGTTCTTCAACTCCACTCACTGCAAGCCCTGGAAGGGCACCTTCCTCTTTGAAGAGAAACGGTCTTAAGGAGGAATCTGATTGGAAATTCGAAAAACCATATGCGGCTGAGTTTGAGAGGGTGTGGTCATATACAGGGAGCCTCAGCGCAAGAAGAGTTTCTGAAAATGCTCCTGAGAGAGACTGAAATCAAATATCCATGACCCTATCTGATTTAATGTACTATAAAATGGTAGAAAAAGAAGTTGCATAGTTTCGTTGGGTGGCTGACAGGTTAAGTATATTTTTATAGCATTAGGATTATTAGTCTCAAAGTTTTGATTTTTTAAGTATATAGATTTAACTTCAAATAGTGTAAGGCAAGGGAAGAAGATTATGCTATAATCGGATTGCTATTAATGCTGTTCATATTCTATTGTCCTACCTTTTGGGTCGCATTTTCATAGGCAGTTTTATTGATCAACAGAGTGCACTTGACCACCAGCCGTCATTCAAACGGGCAAGTTGCTCGGAGCAAAACAATAGGTGGCTCGGAAAAGGTACTTATTTCTAACTAGCCAAGAGCAAACAGGTAAGACAACAGGAGTTACTCATGACAATGAACTAAACAAACATATACCAATGCCATCAATCTGTCATCAAGCCAACTGAAAATTGAAAATGTAGCATTAACAGAAAGGACATGGAAGTACAAGATAGAAACAACACAATTTGAAGCTGCACTTTGAACTTGGAGAGGGACGCTTGCTGCCGACTTATTGTCGTGTGACAGTCACTCTTTAAGGAGATTTGCCTCCAAATTCTCTTGTAGTAGCTGAAGTTACCCACTCAGGAGGTGGCCAGAACAAGTTACGGTAGGCAGGGCAATTCTTTAAAGGACTAGCAGTGGCAGTTTCTAAATCAAACACAAATATATGTCGATCTTCAGGATGACAATACAGTGGATGGTAGGAGAGATCAGCCGAATAGAAAATGAGGTTTCCTCTACCCCAACAAAATTCAGAAGCTGATGCAGAAGTTGCTTGACGCAAACCTAGAAACAAGATTTGATCCCCCAAACTTTCCATCTCATCCCACTTCTGCTCTTCTTCATTCATCCTGAAAATTCTAAAACCAACCACCTTATGACCTACAGAGATACCGAAATTCGGAAGGCTTTCAGCATCAGAATATGAACTTGTAAGAAAAAGCATTTCAACAGCCAGCAAATTATCACCAGACTGGACCAAGAACTTTCTGCTAGTGGGAGAACCAACAGGTTCTAGGGAACTAACATTTAAAGATATGTCAACGATTATAGTTCTTCCTTTTTGCTCTATGGCATAGAACTTGCCATTGAAGGAAACAATATCCTGAACACCATCCACGTTTTCAAGTAAAGTCCATTGATTACATTCCTTTTCTTCCGATCTCAGAAAACCCAAGCACTGGACAGAGTAACGAAATAAGGCAAGCATAACAACATAATCACTATTGATACCAGACCGAATGAATGCTACTTTCTCTCTGTAGTGACGAGATAGTTCCTCGAAAGGACGATAAATAACTACACCATATCGACCAATATATTCATGACCCAATTCAATGACCTGAAAGTTCGCTAAATCCAATACCTTGGGAAATTTTAATGGAAGAGGCCTCAATTCAGAGTCTGTAAGTGGATTTAGCAGTCGCATGTTCACAAAGTGCGCACCATCTTTGATTTTGACCAACCAGCAACCAGGGGCTGCTTGATTGTTGTGAGTCCCAGACCCAGACAATCTAACAAGGAAAAAAGTGTTCCTGGTAATATCACAGATTGAGATTTCACATCCACCTCTGGTTTTTGATGGGAGACATTTGGGCAAAGGGTAAAGTTTTGGTGGGAAAGAGGAACGCCATGAAGAGCAGACAGATCGGAAGCGGAGAACATCAAACCGGGTTTCAAGGCGTTTGGCTATTAAAGCCAGAAGCTCCGGTTGGAGTCCAGACCAATCTGCCATGGGGTTTGAAAATTTTTGCACACGATCTGCAATGAGCTGGAGTTGCCAGTCTTTTGCAATTAGACCGATCTTCTTTTGCATTTAATAAAGTGTTGTAGGATTAGCAACGGTGACGGTAACACGTAGCGTACCGTTCTATAGTCACATCATATACTCAAATAAACCACCAAATTTCACTCAAATATACAAATAGTTCCTCAATTTTTTATTGCATGTAATTAAAATTATTAACTTTTATTTCAATGTAATTATACTTATTAAATCTTAAAAATAGATAATAATATCTAATTGAAAGAATTTTTAAAACATTTTTTTAAATATTAATCATTCAATTCATTCAAATAAATTTAAATAATTTTTTTACAAAATAAATCATTTAATTAAAAAATTAACAAAAAATTCAATATTATATATCGTCATGATTATAATTACTATAAAACAAAATTTTATAACTTTAATTTTTTTCAATAAAAGATCATGAACTTATCTTTATTTTTTAATAAAGTTTGAAAGCTTATTTGAATATTATTATTTTTATATCCATATAGATTATATTTCATGACAACCCATATAACATAAAAATACACATTAATTAATTAATTTTGCTACATATTTATTTATTAAGTCAAATTTTAACATTTAAATTTAAATTTAAAATCGATTTTAATACATGGTATTAAAAAAATTAAATTAATAGATTAAAATTAACTCATAAAAAGTAAATTAAAGTTAAAAATTATAATAAAAACAATTAATGAATTAATTAAATTAAGCATTACATTAATAATAAATAATTTACAAATATCCCAACTTAATTTTAGAATATCATAATCCCACTTAGTCAAGTAGGAGAATGCAAAACACCATCTAGAAGGTACCCATTGTCAGAATAAAAAAGAAAGAAATAAATAAATAATTATCTCTTTGCTTTTTTTTTTTTTTTTTTTTTTTTGAGAATAAAATTTTGTCATACTAATACTTAATATTTTTTAAAAAAAGAAAGAAGGACAACAGTTTTCAAGAAAATAATGGTGAACATCTACAATGATATTCATATACAGACTACAGAATTATTTTTATCTACTGATATATTTTCACATTCAGCTGCTGCTTACACTAAGATATCAATTATTTAAATTCTTATGCATTAAATCACCACTGGCACAAAATCTGTACACATGTATTTGTAATTTGACAGGATAAACAATTAAAATTAAAGAATACGAAGGGAAAAAGATACACCCTACTAAATCTTTATCCTGAAAGGAAAGGACATTAAATTCATACTACATGCTCAAAGATGAAAAAGAAAAGAAAAATATGCAAGGAAATGGAAAACTGCCAAGTCACTATTGGCAGGTGAAAGTATTCATCTTAAATGTTTTAGTTAGAACTGGAAACTCCCTACTGATCAAAAGCTTTCCTTGTCATGGTAGTTGCTTCTGTTGCCCCACAAATAACCAAATCCAAATGAACACAGATTTTTGGTTAGATGTGCTCTGATTGAGCAGCCAGAGACATCAAATGACAATGGTGTATATGAAAAGCAACCGTAGGTAGATAACCAGGAATATAGAATTCAACCATGAAGCAGAAGTACAGTATGTGCTAGGCCGATTCTCCGATGTTTTTTTGTGCCTGTTGCATCCACCGGATCAGCTTCTAACATGCTGTTACATAAGAATGAATTGCAAGAAAATCATGGTAAATAGTACAAATTCACTGCAGGTAGTCAGAAGAGGCAAATATCCTCATTCATAGTCAATGCGATAAACAAACATGAAAAAGTACATTTCTGAATTGACCATTTGGTGGCAACCTCATGGACAGAGTGTATACGACAATAATTTTAGATCCAAATTCAAATTGCTACTAAAAATCAAAGTAAAAAATCTTAGCCCGTTAGAACAGTGCTAGAGCCTATGTCTTGGGAGACATATGAAAGAAATCCACGTTCTATTTAAGTCCAGCTACTCAAGAGTTATCTGACATGAAGACTTCACTTTGGCCTTTTCAGTAAGTTCACATTAGATACATAGCATCAATGGTGACCATTTAAAGACACAGTTTCAAACTAACAAGGCCACACCATCAGGTCTGTGCTTTCCTCTGTTTTTGACAGTATATCGATAGTTGAATGTCTGTCTATAACTTTATAGAAAGGTACACACATAACAGAACATGAGATTCAAGAACATTTTCAAGGAGTTGGTCATGATTTTGTGCATGTTCTTTCCATGATTCCTCATAATTCAATGCTTAAAGAATCTTCATTCAAATTGCAATAGCATAGGGAATTGAAATTAAATAAAAACTCAACCAAAATTTCAAAAATGAAATGCAAAATACTTACATCCAATGTTGTTGAGGAAATCCAACGAGGTGGTGGCCAGAACACCTTGGAAAATTGAGGAAACTTCTGTAATGGTCCTATAGAACCGTTTTCCAAATCAAACACACCTACATCACAACGCTCCGATGATCCATCTTCTACCCCAAGTGAATAAAAGCAATTATCCGCAAAAATTATGCAGTTCCCTCTACACACAGACAAATCTTCTGCTGAGGCAGAGAAGGTACAATCATCACCCAAAAACAACACACGGCCGTTCAAACTCTTAACATCAACCCACTCCTTACCAACTTCATCCAACTTAAAAACCTTAAACCTAACTGTCCTTTCATTCATATAAAAAGCAAGATTCTCAAAATACTCCTCAACAAACCCTAAACCTGCCCATGAACACGAACCCTCCTCGGCTTCAATGCTCAAATACATATCAACCAACAATAACTCACCCTTGGACTCAACCAAAAACTTCTTGTCTCCACCAAACACGGGCATCCCAACCACACTTATCTCAAAATCCAATGCCACAAGCACTGTCCTACCAGTATTATCAACAGCATAAAAATTCCCTTCATGCAATATCACATCATCATAAGGAGAAGGCATGTCTTGAATTATAGTCCATTTCTTATCAATAGATTTAAACATTGCTAATTTCCCAGAAACATGAATTGTAAGTAAAACAAAATCATTAGCATTATTATCTAAACAAGATAAAACAACTTTTTCCATGTACAAGTTTCCCACATCACCTAGATAACTAAGGTGATTTAAATAATGAAGCACGTATTCTTCACCCAATTCAAAAACTCTAAATTCCAACAAGTTCAAAGATTTGGGAAAATTATCAGGGAGAGAATCGAAACCGGACCTTGAGAGAGGATTCAACAGCTGAATTCTGTTTTTTGGCACATCTTCTTCAATTTTGATTACCCAGGAGGTCAAAGTGTCCGTTTCGATATTGGTTTCGGGTGATTGAAGGAGGAATACGGTGCGTTTTGAGAGGGAAAACCCGAAGGAGGTATTCACCATGCCACCCTCATCGGGAAGGACCGGGAAACGAGGAGCTAAGCGGTGGCGTTTGGGGGTTGTAACGGAGGACCGCCACGTGGAACAAACGGAACGGAAACGGATGACATCGTAGGAGGTGTCTAGACGTTTGGAAATAAGGTCTAGGAGTTCCTGGGGAAGTTGGGTCCAATCCGCCATCGCCGATTTTCAAGGGACAGTGATGGAAAAGAAACAGAACCACGTGCCGGGCAGGAAGCATTGTATATAAAAGAAGAGGAGAAGGTATCCTCCAATGGGCTTTTTGGTTTGGGCCAAGTCCAGTTAGAAAGTTCTCTCCTTTGGGTCAAAGCAACTATTTTTAATTTTCTAATTCGGAGTCGAGATTGAAAAACCTGAAGAACAGAACCTCCCGAGTACCCTGGAACATATGGAGAGGAAGCAGAAGCAACAAAGCGGCAATAAAGGCAAAATAAATGAATGGAAAGCTGCGTCTTTGAAGGTATTTGGAAGCTGTTCGATCAATGGAGACGATGCTTCAAGCTTAGTTGGAAGCATAATCGAAAAGGGAATTGTTTCATCAAACAATAATATTACCAAGCCCATTCAACCGCCTCAGCCGTCAGTTCTTCCTTTCCCTGTTGCACGCCACCGCTCCCATGGACCTGTAACCACCACCAAGTTCACTCTGTTTCATCTTCAGCAATTACTTGGTTCTCTGTTTTAATTTTTTTTTTTTTGTTTGCTGTTCTTTTCAAGTTACTTAAATCCAGAAAATTTTGAACCTTTATAAGATATATGAATATGAACAACTTTTATGCATTTATGTATTGTTTCTTTTGGGATACATAGATCACCGTACTTATGATTAGAAAGGGGAGCTGTGCAGCTTACACTTAGGGAAGTTCAGCTATTTTGGTACTTAATTGTTGTTGATTACTGCAAATTTGGGTAAGGTTATTGCTTGAAGGAGTAAGGCAATACTATATGTTTAGAGCCTATAATAAAGCATTAAAGATGGGTTAGTACAGAAACGGGTTTGGGATGTGGTGATCAACTAATACTAGCATTAAAGATGTTCCTTTTTGGTTTTATCTCCCTTACTCTTGTAATTGTTGACTGAATTAATTAATCGGGTTTGTTTTGTTGTTGAGTTTGATTATGTTCAAATCAGAAGTTGCTTAAACTGATACTTGGATTTTTTACACAGCATTGGACTCCAAGAAGCAATAGAAATATTGTTGAAGAAGACGAAGAAGATGATGAAGATGAAAGTGGATTTGCTAACCTTGATCCTGTATCGGTTTTCGCTAAACCAGTACGGAGGAAAGAGAAAACGGTTTTGGATCTTAGCCTTTGGAGAGAGCCAATGCAGAGTGATGATTTTTCCAAGAGTAAGGGAAGGGAAGCAAACAAATCACACATAGGGAAAACTGAAAGACAAATGATGGATGGAGAAGCAATGGAAAATGTAGGCAAGAAAAGCATGTTGAGTGACTCCTTGGGTGCACATGCAGATGTAGCTTCCATGGATGTAGATGTAGAATCACATTTAAATGCCCATAGGCCTTCGACTAAAACTGAAGAAGCCATGAGGAGTGAATTGAGTGTTAGTTCAGTCACTGAAATGGACTTAGATGACTCACTTCAATTCCACCTGCAAGAGAATATTAAAGATGCTGACTCAGATAACTTCAGTAGAGAACCAGGATCAATGGCCATAGATGATCAGGTCAGTGCAAAAAGAATGTTCCATAATGATAGTGCCAAAGTGCAATTTGGGAGAATGGGGAAGATAGATTCTACACGAACCACTGTGCTAACACAATTCCACAACATAGGAAATGAACAAGGGTCCATGTCTCTTGAGAGTGAAATTGATGTTGAGAATCGTGCCCGATTAAAAAATATGTCACCTGAAGAAATTGCACAAGCACAGGCTGAGATAATGGAGAAGATGGATCCTGCTTTGCTAAACTTACTGAAGAAACGAGGCCAAAAGAAATTAAAGAAGCAAAAGGACTCAAATTCAGATCTGGCTGCTAACATTGAACTGGGCATTAGACATGAGAATGAGTCAAGCAATGCTATAAACACTCCAAACACAGAGAGCAATAATTCCAAGATGGTGACAACTAGCTCAAATATTACAACGCGTGGCCTTGACAATGGCATGGAGCAGAATGTAGACCCTGTGAGTGGCAGTTTGTGGAATGCTTGGAGCCAGAGAGTTGAGGCTGTTAGGGAATTAAGATTTTCCTTGGATGGGACTGTTGTTGAAAATGATTTTGTCCAGATACCAGAGACAAGTAAGGCCAAATCATAATTATTCTTATGTAGTTATGTTCATTTGCTTAGTTATTTTTAGATATATATGCAAACGTCTTTATTGAAAATTATGTCCTATAGGTCTATGGTAGAATGTTGATCTTCTTGTTACTTTCTTCATAAGCTTTCTAAGGTTGATTTACCAACATTTTTCCATCAAGTGTCTGTATTCTTTGGCTGTCTAGGGAATAGATGTGCAAAGGATACTTGCCATACAAGGAACAGTGGATGACTAAATTTAATATTGTTATGGTTTTTCCTTTTATTACTGTATTGCAGGTGGTGATAATGTTGCTGAACGCGACTTTTTACGGACAGAGGGGGATCCAGGCGCAGCGGGTTATACAATTAAAGAATCAGTTACACTCACAAGAAGCACGGTTAGTTTATATTTTATTTATTAGTTGATTGGATGATCTGTAGTTCCATTTTAGATCTTTAATGTGAATGCCACTAGATGTTGCAGAGATACACATTAGATTGTGTATTTCTAATATTAAATATTGCGGCTGTATATCTTTGATATAACTTTATTGATCTCCTGTTATTTACTGATTTTGTGGAATTCAGATTCCAGGACAACGGGCCCTTGCACTGCATCTCCTTGCATCTGTGCTTGATAAGGCATTACATAATATTTATCTCAATCCAGTTGGCTCCACTCTGGCCAGTAATAACAAAGTTGACAGCACTGTTGACTGGGAAGCTGTTTGGGCTTTTGCATTGGGCCCAGAACCTGAGCTAATCTTATCATTAAGGTTAAAAGATCTTTTTTTTGTCTCTTCTAAATACCATTAAGGCTTTCCTGTTAAAATTTAGAATTTGATTCATTAAAATTAGTTGTCTTCCGTAGACTATACCCTTAATTGAATAATTTGAAATTTGTAGGATGTCTCTTGATGATAACCACAATTCTGTCGTTTTAGCAAGTGCCAAAGTTATTCAGTGCATATTGAGCTGTGATTTAAATGGGAACTTCTTTGATCTCTTTGAGGTAGATTTCTATCTTTTCTATTTATGTATGTCTATATGTAATGTTGAGTTTGATAAATGTTATGTACTCTCAGAAAACAGCAATTGATGTGAAGGATACTTATACTGCTCCTATATTTCGAACTAAACCAGCGATTGATGTTGGTTTCCTGCATGGTGGATTTTGGAAATATAGTGCTAAACCTTCAAATATTCTTCTTTATGGTGATCATATTGTGGAAGATGAGACTGAAGGGAAGCATACAATTCAGGATGATATTGTTGTTGCTGGACAAGATTTTGCTGCCGGTTTGGTTAGGATGGGAATCCTTCCAAGGATTCGATATCTTTTGGAGGTGAGCAGCATTTTGTTGAATACATCCATTCCAATATCTGATTGGCAAAGCTTTGACATACCTGCCGTCAAGTTTCTGCTTATATTCATGCAAATTTAATAAACTTGTTATCTAGTGTCAACCATTGACATTTTGTGGGATGTGTGAATAGAAATGAATAATAATCTAGACTCTCGTGCTAGCCTGTACTTTCTCTCCTGCAGATTTATATATTCACTTTTTCTGTTTTTGAGTACTTGCACAAGACTCTGGAAATTAGTAAGTTGAAGAATTATCTCTATGTTAATTTGATAAGTTTATATTTTAGTTGTTTTGACTCCAACATAATAGTAGCCATAGTGTCTCTCCCGGCAAGCTCAATACTTGCTTTGTGGAATATTTCTGATATGTATTTTACTCATGTTTTCAGATAGAACCAACGGCACCTTTGGAAGAATGCATGATTTCAGTACTAATTGCAATAGCAAGGCATTCCCCAATGTGTGCAAATGCAATAATGAAGTGCCAAAGACTAGTTCAAACTGTTGTTCACCGATTTACTGCAAATAACAATTTGGAGGTTTATCCCTCTAAGATAAAATCTGTTTGCCTTTTGAAGGTAAGCTTTTATTCATTTGTTTTTGGGGTAGTGAGGCTGGCTGAGCCACTTCATTATGTTAGAATAAAATTGAAAAAAAAAATGTGTGATGTTCCTAGTTCCTATTTGATTCGTCTATTTTCCTACCATTTAACATAAAGAATTTATGCTGCTGTTCTTTTTTCATTAAAAAGGTGCTGGCACAATCTGACTGGAAGAACTGTGGAGAGTTCATAGAGAATGGAATTTTCCACGCTATGACATGGCAGTTGTATCAAAATCCTTCCTCTCTTGAACAATGGTTGAAGTTGGGAAGAGAAAACTGTAAACTTTCATCTGCCTTAACGGTTGAACAACTACGTTTTTGGAAGGTCTGCATTCAGAATGGGTATTGTGTGTCATACTTCTCCAATATTTTTCCTGCCTTGTGCTTGTGGTTGAATCCTCCTACAATTGAAAAACTGGTAGAGAACAATGTTTTAAGTGAATATGCTTCCATCTCTGAGGAGGCATACCTTGTTCTAGAATCTTTGGCCAGAACACTTCCAAATTTTTATTCACACAAGTTCCAAAGTGATAGAATACCTGAGGGAGCTGATGATAATCTGGAGATCTGCTCTTGGAGCCATGTTGGTCCGATGGTTGATTTAGCAGTGAAGTGGATATCATTGAAGTCTAGATTGATTGATTCTCAGGATGGAATGAAGGGAAACTCTGTTTGCCACAATAAATCTTTCTCTCCCTTATTGTGGGTATACGCAGCTGTTATGCACATGCTTTCCAGAGTGCTTGAAAAAGTGATCCCTGAGGACACCATCGGCTTGCAAGAAGATGGTTGTCATATGCCATGGTTGCCAGATTTTGTTCCTAAGGTTGGACTTGAAATTATAAGAAATGGGTTTTTGAGCTTTACCTGCATGAACATTGCAGAATATGGAACTAACCTGGCTGGAGGTAGTTCTTTTGTTGAGCAACTCTGCTCTTTGAGGCTGCAAAGTGAATTTGAAACATCATTAGCTTCTGTATGTTGCCTTCATGGCTTCTTCCAGGTTTTTTTATCCATAAACAATTTGATCCAGCTAGCTAAGGCTGGGATATGTAAACCTTGCGAAGTATGCACTTCCTCACAAGAAGAGAACATACTTGCAGGGGGGATACTGATGGAATCTTTGTTTGAATTGAGATGCGTGTTCAATATTTTCTCAAAGTTAGTTGCATCTGAGTGGCAGTTTGTGCAGTCAGTTGAGATTTTTGGTAGAGGAGGCCCTACTCCTGGGGTGGGGCTTGGCTGGGGTGCCTCTGGTGGAGGATTTTGGTCAAAAACTGTTTTATTGGCACAAACAGATGCATGGTTGCTTAGTCAACTGCTTGAGATCTTCCAGATTATCTCTATAGAATTGTTACCCGCAGATGAAGAGAGGACCCTTACCAAGGAAATGATCCATTCTGCTTTAGGATTATGTTTAATTGCCGGACCAAGAGACAAGGTTATTGTGGAGAAAGCGTTGGATGTTATGCTTCAAGTACCTGTGCTGAGGTACCTTGATCTCTGTATTCAGCGTTTTATCCAGGATAATGGGAGGATAAAATTATATAGGTGGGAATATAAAGAAGATGACTATGTGCTCTTCGGTAAGATATTAGCTTCTCACTTCAGAAATAGATGGTTGTCTGGTAAGAAAAGATCAAAAGCGTTGAGTGGTGATAGAACATCAAGGGGTAGTGTTTCTCTGGAAACCATACCAGAGGACCTGGACATGTCAAATATGATGAGTCAAGATCGTGGCTGCACTTCATTGATAATGGAATGGGCTCACCAGAGACTACCGCTTCCCACGCACTGGTTTCTCAGTCCAATAGCAACCCTTTGTGATAGCAAACATGCTGGTCTTGGAAGGGTCTCTGATATACAAAATCTTATGCAGGACCCTCATGATGTACTTGAAGTTGCTAGAGCTGGAATGTTTTTCCTTTTAGGTTTGGAAGCCATGTCCACTTTCTTGTCCGCAGGTGTTTCCTTGCCTGTTCAAAGTGTTCCATTAATCTGGAAACTGCATTCATTATCCATCATATTACTCATTGGAATGGCTGTGCTTGAAGAGGAGAAGAGTAGGGATGTTTATGAGTCTTTGCAAGAGCTTTATGGACAGCTTCTCAATGAGACAAGGTCTAAGGGAAGACCTGAAACCATTTCAAATATGTCTATCAATTTACTACCAGAAACTGGAAAGAAATATGATGTAGAATTTCTGAGGTTTCAATCAGAGATTCATGAAAGTTACTCAACATTTATTGATACTCTAGTTGAGCAGTATGCTGCTGTATCTTTTGGTGATTTGATCTATGGTCGGCAAGTTACAGTATATTTACACCGTTGTGTTGAAGCTCCCGTGCGACTTGCTGCCTGGAATGCGTTATCTAATTCGCGTGTTCTTCAACTTCTTCCACCACTGCAGAAATCCCTGGGAGAGGCTGAAGGATACCTTGAACCTGTTGAGGTACTGTCTACTAACTGTTACTTTTTTATTAGAGTCCATAGCAATTTGCAGTGTATGGTAATATGATTGAATGCACTTCACATGAAATATCTGATATTTAATCATAGTGAACCCCCAATTTGGCTGCAATGTGAAAAGATAACATTGTAAATTTAATATTGGCTTATTTAAAAATTTTAAATAACATGGAGAAATAGAAATAATGAAATGTCTTAAAGTTTAAACTCTGACCCCAACTCCTGTGTTATTAACTGAGAAGCGAACTCCGTTTTGTTTGTGTTATAATTTGAGAAAACAAGACCTCTGGTTTCTTTTCCAAGAGGAGTTTTTTTATTTTTAGTTCTTTGCAACTTTTTAAATAGAATAGAGCTGCATACTACTGTTTCCATCTGATTAGCATTTTAGCGGAGGAGATTACTTGCAAGTTATTCATTATGAGAATGCCTGAAATTGTGGTTCTGTACAGGATAATGAAGCAATTTTGGAGACTTACGCAAAGTCATGGGTTTCTGGTGCCCTTGACAAAGCTAAAACTCGAGGATCAATTGCATTCACATTAGTTCTGCATCACCTTTCATCTTTTGTTTTTATCTCTCATAAAAATGACAAGCCGTTGCTACGGAATAAGCTTGTGAAGTCTCTACTGCGAGACTACTCCAGGAAGAAGCAGCATGAGGTATGCAGTTTTTTTGTGAAAGGTTATCGAAACTTGGCATTGGTTCAATAAGTCATGTGAAATATTAAAACATGTATGCTCAATTACCTTATAGCTTCAAATTATTTCTAGCAATTCTGCATGATAAGCATTACAGAGGCATTCATTATGCTATAACTCAGTAAACAGGATCTAAAATAATATTAAACACATTGCATACTGTATACAGAGGTTTGTCCGAACCTCCATGGTATAGTCAGCCACTATTTCATAGTGTAGATTACAGTTTAAATGATAATTTGGAGTATTATTTAATTGACCAAGAAGGATATTCTTGTTGTTTTATTAGTGTTTATTGAATTTCATTATTTATGTGTTTATCTTTTGGAATCTAATTACAGGGAATGATGCTGGAGTTCATTCAATATACCAAGCCATCCACAGTTCCAATGGCTGAGAAAAAGGAAGGTTTGTCACTGCAGAGGAGCAATTTAGAGGAGAGGCTGGAAAAACTCAAGGAAGCTTGTGAGGGAAATCCCTCTCTTTTGAAAGAAGTTGAGAAACTGAAGTACTCTTGTCTGAAAGGATAGTTGTGAGTTTTGACCTAGACAATTTGTATATATGAACAAAACACAGTTATGAATGCCAATTACGGATTAATTGGATGCACCCCTCACATATTGTGCTTGATTCATGGAGGCCATGTCCTTGAGAATAGAAGTAAGTTTCGAGTGAAATAAGGCCTAGAATATTTATTGAGAATAAGCATCTTACATCACTTCTACTCACCAACAATTATGACCAACCAAAGGCTATAAATAGATACTAATTAGTATCTAAACAAATACTAATAACCTAAATGGTAGTAATAGTAAATAAAGATAGATCAAATAGAAAGATGACTAAAATCTCAATATTAGTTAAGTTAGTTTATACAGTTATTTTTAAAAGATAGTATTTAGTGAGTTTGAAGTTTAAATTTCAAAATTTATAAATTTTTTTTTTTGGATCACTGACTTTTTTATCTAAAAAAAACAAGATACCTATGAAATGTATATGTATTAATCTAATGATAAATCCTGAGTCATTTTCCAAATGGAAAGGTGCTAGCAAAATAATGATCCATAATTAGTCAGACATACACAAATGGTTAATCAATCGAGGAATAACCTAATTTTTTCCTTAATGAGACGAAATACTAGTGTGGAATGCACCGAACCAACACGTACCTTTCGGTCCCAAAGTAGTGCTATTGGAGGGGATGAGAAAAAGAAACAGGAAAATCGAAAAATTATAGTATATAAAGCAAAATGCATGATTAATATGAAAGTTTATAATCAATTTATTGACCATTACTACGTAAACTTGACCCTGCAAAGAATCAAAATGGGAAAGAGCCATAAGCAAAAGACAGTTTGTAGGGTAACCCACAGTGATCCCAACTTGAATCCCGAGCATGGCAAATTAATCTGGCGATGCAACCTGTCGGCAGCTTGCCAAAAAACAATAAAAAATCTGGACAATCTTATCCAATTCTTTATATATATATATATATATATATATATATATATATAAAGTAAGTAGTCATAGGATCTAATTAAGATCCTAATGAAAAGCTGCATTGATTACCTTCAAAATCCCCAAATTGGTATCCCTTTGCTCCTATTTATGGAGCTTCAACAAAACCATTATTCTCTATCAAGATTTGAGTAGAGTACTAAGTTTTCAAAGAGAGGAGATGGAGATGTAAAAGTGAGAGGAGTGGAAGAAGATGCTCTAGCAGAAGTACATATTTGGAATTATGTATTCGGATATGCTAATATTGCAGTAGTTAAATGTGCAATTGAGCTTGGGATTGCTGATGCTATTGAAAACCATGGAAGCCCCATGACACTCTCCGAGCTAAAGACTGCCCTCGGATGTGAACCATCTCGTCTTTACCGCATTATGAGGTTCCTGTTCTACTACCAAATATTCAAGGAGGAGCCCATAAGCCAAGACTCCGTCGGCTTCACATTAACACCTTTGTCTCGTAGTTTGATTAGACGCGGCGAAAAGAGCATGGCGGTTTTTATTCTGCTAGAGAGCAGCCCACCTATGTTAGCACCATGGCATAGTCTAAGTGCTCGTGTCCTTTGCAGCGGGAATTCACCATTTGAGGCAGCAAATGGGAAGGACGTATGGAGCTACGCTGAGGCGAACCCTGGTTATAGCAAACTCATAGATGAAGCAATGGCTCGCGATGCTAGAGTGGCGGTGCCAGCCGTAATTGAAGCATGTCCTGAAATTTTTGATGGGCTTGGAAGTTTGGTTGATGTTGGTGGCGGTAATGGGACTGCTTTGAGTATGTTGGTCAAGGCATCCCTTGGATTCAAGGCATAAATTTTGATCTTCCTCATGTTGTGGCTGTTGCATCAAAATTTGATGGCATTGAAAACGTAGGAGGAGACATGTTCGAGTGTGTCCCAAAGGCAGATGCAGCTTTCCTTATGGTTAGTATGATCTGGTCTCCGCCTGAACTTGGTTCCTTCAATTCAGCATACATTATTTTTTACATGCATGGTCGACAAAAGAAAACGTATAGCAATTTAGTATGATAGATCTATATTTTTGCGAACTGCAGTGGGTTTTGCATGATTGGGACGATGACGAATGCATAAAAATCCTCAAAAAATGCAGAGAAGCTATTCCCCAAGACAAAGGAAAGGTTATAATTGTTGAAGTCGTGCTTGAAGAAGATAAAGGTGACAAGCTAGATTTTGTCAGGTTGATGCTAGACATGGTGATGATGGCACATACTAACAAAGGCAAAGAGAGGACCTTAAAGGAATGGAGCTATGTTCTTGGAGATGCAGGATTTACTAGGTTCAATGTAAAATCCATTCAGGCAGTGCAATCTGTCATTGAAGCTTATCCTTAGAAAATCTATAGCTCTCCACATTGCCTACTTTCTTTTGTGGTAAATAATGGTTCATCTGCTACAAACGTTAGAACCCATTCAGGCAGTGCAATCTGTCATTGAAGCTTATCCTTAGAAAATCTATAGCTCTCCACATTGCCTACTTTCTTTTGTGGTAAATAATGGTTCATCTGCTACAAACGTTAGAACCTGTTGAGTGAAAGATGTTTGCTCTCTGTTTAGTAATTTGGCTTGCACTGTTTGTTCCCTCTTGTTCACTTCAATCTTCATGTAATGACCTTCCGTCTTCCAAAACAAACCCAATTTGGATGAAAGAAACCTGAAACACAAGCTCAGTTAAGAAAACTGGCAATTGTTATCCTTACTGCTAACTGCAAAGTAATTAAGGAACTGGCATAATAGACAATGACTCGAAGGTAATGATTGATGGGGGCAGTGAGTCTGTCGAGGTCACATGGTATGATTTGTGAGCTAGTTTATGGATCGAGCAAACATGGATGATGCCTGATCTTCTTTCTGACAGACGATGGCTTTCGGATAACCTTGGTTAAAAGGGCCTATCGATCCATATCTTGTTTTATCGAAACAGTTTGGATGTGGATACCAACTACGTTTGCGACAGTTCGAGATTGTTTCTTGATCAAACACTTAATGGGCTTCTTCAATGGTATTTCCAAAAACTTTTTTGAGTACACAATTGGGCTTTGATGGGAAAGTGGTACCCACATCAACTGTTTATGATGACGTGGCAGAAATGATTTCTGGATTTTTTTTTTCACAAAAAATCTCATCTTTTTTTTTACGTTCTCCATTCAGCCTATCCGTCGCTTCCCTCTGTTCATTTTCGAGTTTCGATCATAAAATCTCAAATTAATTCATGCGGAGAACGAAAGACAAGCAAACAAGAGAACAAAAAAGATGGCCTTTTCAACGGTGCTAACATCAGGGCCGATCCTCTACCTTCCCAACAAACCCCAGAATTTTCACTTCCCAACTCGCTGCCTTTCTTCACCATCTTTATCAGTTTCAAGTCAACCAAAGTTGACCCAGTTCGATTTAAAGACTTACTGGACTACCCTTATTGCAGAAATCAATCAGAAGCTTGAAGAAGCAATCCCAGTCAAGTACCCGGAGCGGATCTATGAAGCTATGAGGTACTCTGTTCTTGCAAGGGGTGCTAAGCGAGCCCCTCCTGTTATGTGTGTGGCTGCCTATGAACTCTTTGGTGGTAACCGACTCGCTGCTTTTCCTACTGCTTGTGCTCTTGAAATGGTTGGTCCCAGTCTTTTCCTTTTAACCAATTTCCTCTGTTTCTTTAGTTAGAAGTTTCTGTTGATATGATCTAATTCCCTTTCAGTAAACACTGCTTAACTATCCATCTATGAAATATGTTACAAAACTTTGGTTGGATTTTGTTCAATTTTTTTTAGAACCTGCCCTTGGTGGAACTATAGTAGGTGCAGTTATTTTTTTATGCCTTCTAATTTTTAGAGAATCAGGTTTGATTTGTGCCCAACTTATTGTGCATCATACTCTTATAATTTGCGGTTCGCTGAATTCAACCTTGATCACAATTCATAAACAAATGGAATTGGATTGGTCATTTTTTAACCAGAATTAAAGCTTAACTTTGAATTGGGACGAGTAGTCTTTCCTTGAGACTGTTAGGATTGCATTTACACTATCATTACCTAAACTGAGGAAAGAACCTTACCTAAGTTAAGAGAAATACAAGAAAAAAACTCATTGTTCTAGTTTGTTTTAATATGTAATATTTTCTTTCACAAGGCAACTGAATGTCCAAATATGAATGATGGCCGCCACAATAATCAATCTGTATGTCAAGGTTGAAGCCCTTTAATCAAAGAGACGTCTTTGATTTGTTGTGTCAAAGTTCTTTTGTTTAAAGTGAAATTTACATTGTCTGTAAGTAGTTTACTGTTTACAAACGGTCCCAGACGGCTTAATATTTTAATAACTTTATAGAAACTGCATCAAGATAGCTGCAATTTATTACTGAATGACTCTTTTTCACAGGTTCATGCTGCTTCGCTAATTCATGATGACCTTCCCTGCATGGATGATGATCCAGAACGCAGAGGCCTACCCTCAAACCATAAAATCTATGGTGTTGACATGGCAATCCTTGCTGGTGATGCACTCTTCCCTCTTGGGTTCCGCCATATTGTCTCGCACACACCTACTGAACTTGTTCCTGAGGCCCGCCTCTTGCGTGTGATTGCTGAGATTGCCCGCACTGTGGGATCTGCTGGCATGGCTGCTGGGCAGTTCCTAGACCTTAAGGGTGGCCCAAATTCTGTTGATTATATTCATGAGAAAAAATTCGGTGAAATGAGCGAGTGCTCTGCAGTGTGTGGGGGATTATTGGCTGGTGCTGAAGATGATGAGATAGAAGGGTTGAGGAGGTATGGGACAGCTGTTGGTGTATTATATGAAGTGGTGAATGATGTTATGGAGGCAAATTTGACGGAAAAGGAGGAAACTGAGAAGAATCAAAAGAAAGGTAAAAGTTATGTGAGTTTGTATGGGGTTGAGAAGGCGATGGAGGTGATAGAGGAGCTTCGGACCAAGGCGAAGAACGAATTGAATGGGTTTGACAAGTATGGTGACAGGGTGTCACCACTGTATAGCTTCATAGATTATGCTGTTGATAGAGGCTTCAATGTAGTTGACTTGAATTAATGATGCTGTTTTCTGCATTATGCAATTGATGAGGCTCTTAATGATGGTGAACTCATGTTGATGATTGATAATTGATCTGGTTAAACATTAGTGGATATCTCAAAATTTGCTAAAATACATCATCCGCATAGTCTGGAGAAAATGAGTAGCATCTTGATATTTTGGGGCACTATGGGTGCTTTATTTGCACTTAGCTCTCATGTCTCATGCCCTGAGGTGTGCTTCATTCTGGCCTTTTGGCAGTTCATTTAGTTTTTTCATCAACACCATGGCCTCTGCTACTAGATCTTTTGGGCGGCAAAAATGCTGCAAATCAGACGTTGACAACCAAAGAAAACAATCTGTCCTTCAAGGTGTCTCTCTTGTTTGTCCTCCAACTTTTATCCATTTGATGATCTGTTTGGGTCCTAAACCTGTCAGACGTCTAATTCTGATTATTACACGAGCTATTGTTGTCATGAAGGGCCTGAATTTATTCTTTTCCGTTGTCTGTGTACAAAAAACTCGGTATCGTGTAATAACGCTCGGCAAGTTTAATCAAACTGAGAATGTAAATACAAGAAGGAATGGTTCACTGTAGCCACGTTAGACTGGTCTAATCAAACCAATAATTGAATCTTAAGATTGGGTTTTCTCTAAAGTGTAAGAGCCCGCAAAACAAGCCCATAAATGCGCCGTAGTTTTCGAGAAACTCCACTTGTTCTATCTCCCTCCTGTCCTAACAAAATGAAGAAAATGGCAAATACTCAAATAGCCAGATCTAATTCTTAGTAAAAAATCTCCGGAAACGAATGAAACAGCAAGTAAACTGAAAGAAAAGGGATGGCGAGTGGGAACGTGGAGAGCCTGGATCAGCTGCCTATGGCCCTTTTGGCTACCATCATGACGAAGCTGGATATCTCTTCAATCTGCTCATTGGCTGTCACATGCAGAAATTGCAATTCCTGTGCTTCTCATATCCTCTCTTTTCTTCCCAATTTCCATATCCTTGTAAGTATAATTATCCTTTGTTTGTATTAAATTTTGGATCTTTAGCTGTTTTGTTGTTGCTTTCTTTTTACTTGATAAAAGAAATGTTGACGTTTGATTTGGATGCTGCGGAAAGTTAACAAGAAAAAGTCCAATTCCCTTTTTTTTTTTTTTTTGCTGATTTGGGTTTTTAACTGAAGAAATGTATTAACTTTTTATTACTTTGGTTCCCTGATCCTCCATGAACAAATGAAAATCTGAACTCATGATCTTGATGTGATTTTTGGAGTTTAAAATTGAATCGAAATAGTCTTTTTTTTTTTTACTTTGAATTGATGTATTTTGATCCTTGGACAGGACATTTCGCCATCTATGGAATTGATCAAACCACTGTTGCCACCAAATCCTTACCTTAAAAGCTTAAAGCTTGATTGTTGTCAACTTAATGATTCATCCGTTGAGCTATTACTTCGACCTTCTTTACAGGAACTTTGCTTACGCAATTGTGCAGATTTTAGTGGAAAACTACTCTCTGAAATTGGATCACGATGCAAGGACGTAAGGTATATATTTTTTGAATTACAATTGCATATATCATTTCATGGTGTTTGTGAAGATACTTTTGCTGTGTTAGATATTTGCTTTGTTGTGGAAAGGTTGATGTTAGATTTATGATGCTAATTCTGTTACCAGTTACAATAGATGTTTTCATTAGCTTTATATGTTAACTTTCATTCAGGTCTCTCTACTTGGGTTCAGTGGCTGAGAAAAGCGGTCGGGCAATACATACTTCTGATCTGAAGGAACTACTCAGTGGTTGCACCCAATTAGAAGTGAGGCTTATTTGTTAAAGTAATGAATGAGGAGGTGTAAAAGATTAGTGAAAAATTAAGGGAAAATTTTGTTAATACATTAAACATAAAGATGGAAAAAGTTAGCAATTTACTTGTTGGTTTGTTTGTGAAAGTAATGAATGAAAAAAAGATGTGAAAGATTAGTGAAAGATTAAAGGAAATTTTGTTGATACGTTACACATAAAAATATAAGCAGTTAGCAATTAACTTTAGACTGGACTAGCCCCCAGTATTGTAATACATTGTTCAAAGGAGAGGACTTGATATATTTTCCAAAGACCTAGAGTTTCTAGTTTCTAGTTTCTGGATATCTACTTTTGATTTCTTTGATGATGCTGTATGCCTGAACATTAAAGTCAGTTTTAGCCCCTTTCAAGGGTTAGCCTTGGACTAAGAGCTAGGGCAACAACTGCTTGGCCTTTTGAAGAAGTACTTCACACTCTTTCCAAGTTATGGATAACCCTCGCTACAAAAATCACTTCGCCCAGGATCCCATATAGTTCCCGCATCCCACTATCTTGATGGTGTGTACACAACCAAACCCTAAAACCAGATCGGAATGCACTGTTGTAAAAACTCTAAGCTTCTATTTCTCTTTCTTTTCTCACTTCCTCTCAGTTATACTGCACCACTTTTGTGAATGAATGGAAATGCCAAAGTAGCCTTTCTATGACATGAACTTGTATCACTTGTGTTGAAACTTTACTTGCTGGTTACCATATTTGAAGTCTGATAGTCATCTAGTTCCTAAATTTACTGGAATGGGTACATTTGCTTTCTTGTTGACCATTCTGAAAATTAATTGCTTATTGGCATTATAGCAAACTGTATATGTTTCATGTGCAAAATTAACCCAGAATAGTGGCAGACTTTTGGATGTATATTTTTCTAGTTCCTGATGTATGTTTTTCATGCATAAACTACATCTGTGTCATTTTGGAGTGATCTAACCACATGCCACCTAATATGCATTCCTTTTTCTTTTCAATTCTGTGTCAGGCAATTAGTCTGATGTTTGACATATCACTATTTCTTCGTCATAACGTTGCTCGGATTTGGGCTTTAGCTTCAGAAAAGCTCACTTCTCTTGAGGTTGGCTACGTATCTTCGGTCACAGTGACTGAACTGCTTAGCCCCAATGTTGGACCACATCAGTGCCTAAATCAAGTTCGACCATCTATATTGCCTGGCATCCACAAATTATCGCTTTTTGTAGATTATATTACAGATACTATGGTCGGTACAATCTCAAAAGGTCTCGTCTTATTGACACACTTGGAACTTCGAGATGCACCCCTCATAGAACCAAGAGTTACATTTGATCTTACCAACTCTGGCCTTCAACAAATCAATCACCATGGGAGATTGAAACATCTTTCTCTTGTCAGGAGCCAGGAGTTCCTCATTACTTACTTTAAGCGAGTTAATGATCTTGGGGTCCTACTTATGGCTGACGAGTGTGAGAACATCGAAAGCATTTGCCTTGGTGGCTTTTGTCGTGTTACAGATACAGGGTTTAAGACAATTTTGCATTCTTGCTCAAACCTGTACAAGCTTAAGGTGTCCCATGGATCCCAGTTGACTGATCTGGTTTTTCATGACATTGCTGCAACTTCCCTTTCTTTGACTCATGTTAGCTTGAGATGGTGTAATCTTCTAACCAACCAGGCCATCAGGAGTTTGGTCTGCAACATAGGTCTCAAAGTTCTTGACTTGAGAAGCTGCAAAAATCTTGGGGATGAAGCCCTACCAGCTATCGGCTCTCTCTGTGAATTGAAGACGTTACTGTTGGATGGCTCTGATATAACCGATGTAGGAATTGCAAACTTACGATATGGCGTTTTTAGCTCATTGGTTTCATTATCTGTTAGAGGATGCAAGAAACTTACAGATAAATGTTTATCTGTTCTATTTAATGGCTCTTCTAAACTGGAGTTGCAAGAGCTGGACCTATCTAATCTTCCTAATCTCTCTGATAACGGAGTTTTAGCTCTTGCAAAAAGTCAGGTTCCAATTTCTGAACTCCGAATGCGACATTGTCCACTCATAGGTGACACTTCAGTCATGGCACTAGCCTCAATGCGGGTTGATGGTGACAGAGGGCATGGTAGTAGTTTGCGATTGTTGGATCTTTACAACTGTGGTGGCATTACACAACTTTCATTCCGGTGGTTGAAGAAACCTTATTTTCCAAGATTGAGATGGCTAGGTGTGACGGGGAGTGTAAATAGAGACATTGTAGATGCTTTAGCTAGGAATAGACCATTCATGCATGTTGCCTGCTGTGGTGAGGAACTAGGGACTGACCCGTTGAACAACTTAGATGGTTCATACGTGCACAACTATGAGGAGTTGGATGAACTTGAACAGTGGCTTCAGGAAGGAGAGGGTGAGAGTGGTGAGGAAGAGATGGAGGATGCTGATGATGATGCAGATGTGCTGTTCGAATAATTCCTGTATGTATATTTACTCTGTACTGTAACTAGCTACTGGTGGATGCGCTGTTAGCTCATTATAAACATTTGCCGGACATATGTTACTGTGGTTATGTTATTTGTAATTTTTGCTTCCGTGCTAGTTTTCAAAATGCAGCAAGTTCTCTTTGAATCGGACCAGCAGTTAAAGGATTCAGAGAACTATATTTGTGTCAAGCAATTTTTGGTCTCTTGGATAACCTGACCTCATTGGTTTTGCTTGATGATAAGCATATAGCAAATGGAATCATGAATCATAAAGATGCCATGTATTTCAAGTTATAGAATTTCCTTTTTCTTTTTTCACATCTAGAAATTCAAGTGTGACATTGAATATTGCCACAGGAACGTCCATTCCAACTTCCCAGGGCTGATGAATGTGTCATGGCTGCTAATGTTTCCGCGGAGGTCCTGAATTCTAGGCTTCCATCCCATTCCCATGAATGCTGTCAGTTTTGCTGTCATTTGCTACAATGTGATGGCCACAGAAACTGATGTTATCTACCTTTCTATGCGTTAATGATATTCGTTGGACATCAAGGAGTTGGTTCTGATGTACCACGACATTCCGACTTTATTTCCTACCTGAAATGATGAAATTGAACGTGAACCAGTGAAATTCTAGCCTCAGCTCAAGATAGGACTCTTCTAACCGGTTGCATTAGCAGTAGTTCGGAAATGTCTCCAGAAAGTACAAACATTGATTTGGTTTTCAAGTCTTATCCATTTAATCCTCAACTAATTGAGATTCAATCAAGTTCATGAATCTAGGTAAAAACTGTTGTGGGCCTTAGTGATGAGGTGGGTAAAAAATTTGGTGGGCCATTCCCATTTAATCGGAATCCATTTTCTTGTGGTCCATTCCTCTTGTCAAACTACGTTGCCTGGGATACATGTCCCTGGAAGCCATTGGAGGAGCTCAATACCTCTATTAAAGAAAACAAAGCATGGGGTTGACTTCCAATATCAAGTGCATTCTTTCGATATTAAACAAATAAATCACAAAAATAATAAAATTTGTTCATGTTTAATTCGTTTACATCCCAATTCTCATAATATTCCTCTTTTATCTACACAAATTACAGAGGACAGATAAAGCAGGCTGATTTTTGGAATTCCTCCATGTTTGGAGAAGACTGGACCACGAGCCTAATAACATTACACCATCTAGGGTTTTAATACTAATGGATCAGCAACAGTAAACAAAATCTTTGAGATTTCTATATCTTTTTATGTATATTCTTCAAACATTGGAATTGCTTTATTCTGCCAAACTTCCCACCGGGCGTTGGCCCATCTTAGGTTGTATTTGCCAGTCCAATGGGAATGTTCTCACAGCATCACTCGAGCCTAAAAGATTCATTCATAAAATGTACCTTCTGATGTAATGAGAATGGTGAGAGCATTTCCAACGGGCTTCAAAATAAAGCCTTAAATGGGAGTTTCAAATTTTACTTTTCGAATATAAGATAAAAAGATCATGCAGTAACAATTGAGTCAAAGGTTCGAATGTCGTAATCAATCATTGTATCATCTAATACGTAATTTGTAGAGAATAGAGGAAGGAAAAGGTGTCCACGGGCACCCTTTCCTTCCTTTATTCTTTATTTTTTATTTTATTTTTGTTTGACTTATTTTTTTGTTTATTAATTAATTAATTATTTTTATTAAATAAATTTTGAAAAAAAAATAAAAGTAAGGATGATCAAGCAATCCACATTCGATTATTTTTTATTCGTATCAATTCAATATTAGTGTATTTTTTAAAAATCGAGATTGAATCAAATATATTTTTATTTCTTTTTCTTTTTTCTTCTAAGCTTTTGATTTTTTTGGTTTTTTATTATTTTATTAAATAAATTTTGTAATAAATTAATTAATTGAAATAGATGTAACAAAATAATTTGTATTTGATGAGTTTTGATTTACCTCAATTTAATTGGTACACTTTCTTTTAATTTGGAATAATTGAGTTGTGTTTTTTTTTAAATCAAACTTGATTTAGAATAAAACTTTAGGTGTTACATCTTAGTTTTGATATATATAAATAAATATTTTATTATTTATTTAATTTTATATTTATTTATTAAAAATATTATTTAATATTTTATTTAATAAATTCACATGCCATCTTATTTAGCTTTTTTATTTTTTGTAATTTTTTGTAAGTTTATTTATTAGATAAATTTTGTAAAGAAAATTCAATGGATATAGAAATGATAAAACAACTTATATCTTATGGGTTTTGGTTCGTAACAATCCAATCAATGTAGGTTTTTTTTTTTTTTAAAAAGAATTGGTATTTGATTAAATTTTGATTTTTATAACACTTTAAGTTAAGTCGAAATCGAATTTAGAGTGTTTTGTCTTAATTCTCATTGAGATATATAAAAGAATATATTTTATTATTTATTAAATTATATTTATATATGTATTATATTAATAAAAATATTATTTAATCCATTAATTTAATAAAAAAGTATATTTATATATTATTAAGTTATAATTTATATTATAAAATAAATACATTTATATTTGTGTATACATTATCATCTTGTAAAAATTAACATAAAAATTTCATTTCTTTTGTATTTAAAATATAAATTAAAAAAATTAAAAAATTATCTCATATAGTGAAATACGGGTTTAATTCTAATTATAATAGTACTTGTAAGTTGTAAAATATGTAAATCCAATACCTTGGTGTAAGTTTTTAATGTTTTTTTTTTTTTCGACTGACAAGCAAAGTTTTTAAAACCGTATGATCTTTAATTGACGTTACCGACTATCGACGGCTAGAAGTGGGCTTCCAAATTAACACGGTTTTTTTTTTTTTTTAATTTGTTATATGAAATGGTCATGTCAATGATTTTTTAAATATTACATTATTAATTTTTATATATACTTTTAAGATAAATAGTTACTTGTTTAATTAATCATAACCAAACTCGCATTATGCTTTTTTAGATACGAATCATTTATCTACTCGATTTTTTTTGGTGGTACATCTAAAACGCTATTCAATTAAACCTTGAACAAACTTCGCTTATACTAAACCAGGAATTACAGCAACGTCATTTTTATGGCAAAAGGCTAGAGCTCAGTCCTTAGTCAAAATTAATAATGAAATTCTTTTCGTAAGCATTTGTGTTATGTTAGGCTCTCAGGCCATCATCTTGGATTTCTTTCCCCTAATCGCCTAATTCCCATACTTATCTACAAGTAGCTTTATCTGATAAACTGGGTCCACGTGTTCAAGTTTTTGTCACCGCCCCATTATTTCCCATAATCCCATCTCCTTAAGGAAAAAAAAAATCCAAGAAAATGAAATCTCTTATTTGGATAACATTTGTTACTGTCATTTAAACATTTTTTTTCTTTTCCTATGTTATCATAAAACCGGATATTCCAGCGGCTACCATTCGCCGCTTAGCTGGCAGTTCCATTCCACCTCGTTAACCTCGCCCCTAACCTTTGGTGACCCCCAAAGGCCACTTTGCCACGTCAACCATTTCCTTCATGTCTGTCAACACCAGGTCACCAAATCCAACCAAACTCGGATCATTCCTTCCCCAGATGTGGATGATCTGCCTACTTGTCCAGGTCAACTCCCCCATCCTCCTCTCTCCTCGAGCCACGTCTGCGCGCGACATCACGTCGCCTCTTCTCATACCATGTGATAATCTATCTGCAAATTTAAAATTATACATTTATTTCCACATCCCCCGAGTCAGGGCCTCCGCTTATTGGTTACTGCTTAACTTAATCATAAACAAAGATTTTGTGAAGGTAGCTTTAGTATATATTAATTATAAAAAATCTTAGATAAAAAAATGTAAATTATACTAATTGAAAATTAATTTAGATGATATGTATGCTGATTAGAGCTTTAAAAATTAAAATTTTAAAAATTTAAATACATAATTTTTTTTCAAGTGAATTAAATAAATAAAAATAGATTAAAAATAAAAAATGATTTTAACATTTATTAAGCCCTTATCGTTTTAGCTAGTTGTAAGATTTTATTAATTGAGTTTAATTGACTTTCTTTCAGCTCTTAATTGACTAATTTATTGTAATATGTTTCACGATTTGCATTTTTATCTTGATAAAGAGTTGCCAAATGTATATAGAATTTGGGTGATGCCTATTTATTTACTTTTAAAAAGAGATTAAGGTAGTGTTTGGTTTTAGAAAATAAAATTATTTTTTGTTTTCATTTTTTTAGAAAATAAAAAAATGAGTGAAAATGTGTTTGATAATTAAAAATGAAAAAAAATATTTAAAAAACTAAAATAAAAATGGGTTGAAATATGAAAACAAAAAAAAAAAAAATTTAATTATGAAAGCAATGGATGTACATTACTTTTTTTTTTTTTATGTTTTACAAGTTACCATATTTGAACACTTTTTAATGTTATTAATTAATAAATATATATTATATTTATAATTAGATGATAATAATTATAATATCATTAAATATTTTATTTATATTTTATTCTTGCATTTTTAAAATATAATTCTTATTTTTGCTTGTCAAATATATTTTTTAAAAAATAAAAAATAAAAAAATTTTCTCAAATCAAACGGAACCTAAGTTTTTGATTGAGAATTTGAAAATGGGTTTAAACAAGTGAAAAATGAAATAAAATTACATTAATTGTGTGGAGTAATTTTGTTAATAAATAATAAATGGTATAATTGAAGAACATGGTTTTCAAGTGGAATTTAGATACCAAAGTCTAATATATTTTTAAATTACTACTATATTTTAAATTAACCATTATAGTAAATCACAGCATATACATGAAATACATACATTAAACGAGACCTTTAAAAATGCCCTTTAATGTTATCAATACTAATTAACATTTACTATGAAATAAATCCCTTAGGTGGACCTTAATAACTGCATGAAATAATGAAAACAAACTAAAGGCTGCTGTATATTTGACGGTATCCATGTCTACATTTTCATGGATTATTATTTGTATCATGTTTTTATCATTCACGTTCATTCTCAACTTGATGAGTCACCATCAACGCCAACAAAAGAAAACCTTTTTCCCTTGTGTCTCAAACATTTTCAATATTTCTCTTTCTATGCAAAGTTTCTCACACATTTCATGTGAACTAATATTTTTTGCGCCTTAATTGTGTTTAAAATAAAAATAATTTATGCATAATCACCGATAAAAAATTAATTTTGTTGATAATTTTATTCGTTTTTTAAATGGTAATTTTGCTGATATTAATTTTAAAGTATAACATTTCTTATTATAATTTGAGAGACCAAATAATATTTATCTTAGAATTTACATTAATTAAAACTTTATGTGTAAGGGAAAAAAAATTAATACCAATCTTGGTTATATTTTGTGTTTTTTTTTTCTTAATAAAGATTTTTATTCTATCAACAATAATGTAATTTGTTGATAAAATGTTAAAATTTTAATTTCAATAATTAAGATTAATAGTTTTAAATAAAAAAAACTCTATCCAAGCGAAAATCAAAGGTGACTATACAAATTGACCACTGTTCCGAGCAAATTATTCTGCTCACATTGTCCAGTATTTTCCTTCCCGTTGATGAACAAAAACGTACGGTCGGCGCCATCTTCCGTTAACTGGAATCTGGACCATTTGAATGGAGCATTAAGCAAAAATCCATTGTCTTTCCAAATGGAGAGCTTATCCAAATCAGCGGGGTCACACGGAATATGCCACTTTGGAGCTTGTCTTCCAAATGGAGAGCTTATCCAAATCAGCGGGGTCACCCGGAATATGCCATTTTGGAGCTTCTTTTGATACGAGTCGGAATGCAGAGTGTTAAAAATGAAACAGTCAAAACTTATCGGGCAGAGAGTTTGGTGAATTTTTTTTTGGTGTTACTGATTCGTAGGGATTATTATTAATTAAATATATTTCCTTATTACAATTATTTACCAAAATTAACTCCATGCTTCGCTGCTTTATCATATCTGATGTGCCTTCACCCTTTACACCTCACTTGCTTTGACCAAAGTCAAAACCCTAAAAAACTCCACTCAATCAGTAAACTGATACAAAAAGCTGTTTAATCTCCCACCAGCAATACTTGGGCGTTACCCAAAGTATTCTTATCTTATCTATTAATTAATTTTATAATTAAAATTTAGAAGAAACCAATAGAATAGGTAAAAAGGTTTATGCTTATGGTATAATCCCACATCGCCCTGATTCATAGGTGCGCACTACACCGGTTAACTCTAGCGGAACCCAAAAAAAAAAAAAAATTGGCTTCTTGTCCTTTTCTTAAATCTGTGTTTCCATATAAACTCAATCGACGTAAACGAAAAGCAAAAAGATCATCACATTCTCGCCTTTCCTTGCCTTGCCTTGCTGTTGGGCTTTTATTTTTCTCTTCCCCTTTCTTTGCTGCTTTTGTATGTTTTCTTTTTTTCGATGGTGATGGAGGGTAACGAGAGTTTCGGGAGCAAAGCGAATGATAAGTCGTCGTTGCAGACCCGGCAACAGCGGCAAAAGCTCGACGTGTACAACGAGGTGCTCCGGCGGCTTCGAGATTCCGACAAAGAAGAGGCTAATCGGCCTGGCTTTGAAGACGAACTTTGGACTCACTTCAATCGTCTCCCTACTCGGTATATCATTTAATACATTTTTTATCCTAAATTTACTACATGCATAAAAGACAAAAAAAAATTGCTAGTAACGTATTTTACGTATTTATTTCTTATATCTATTTCTGTTGTAATAATCGTTTTGTGATTATGAAGGTTTTTTTGATCGAGATACTGAAGCTCAGATACGGAGTTTTATTCTGTTTGAATTTTGTGTTTCGCTGAATATATAGAGTTTGAAGTTAAGGAACTGTTTGGCTTAAATATTATGGTTACATCGGTAGCGCTTAATATGCATTTTTCTTCCTTAAGGATTTGTTGTTGCTTTTATTAGTGGATTAGTTTCGTACTATTACTTTTTTTAATTTTTTATTCTATTTTTAATGTTTGGCTTGCTGCCGATAAGATCAGAAACAAGTAGAGTGAAGCAGATTTGATTTTTTTTTTAATTTTTTCTTTTTATTCTCGAGAAATTGAATATTCCTATTTTTGTTGAATTAATATATAGTTGTTTTAATTAAGCGTGAATTTATACATTGCAGCTATGCGTTGGATGTGAAAGTGGAAAGAGCAGACGATGTTCTTATGCACAAGAGGTTACTGCATTTGGCTCACGATCCTGCCAACAGATCGGCAATGGAAGTTCGTCTCGTGCAGGTGACTTGCTTTTTTTTTTTTTTGTTGCATTTCACAACTAAGCATTACGATTTGCTCTGTGTTTTCGTAAAGGTGAAAAAAAAATGGTATTGCTAAACATTAATTTCTTTGTCTTTCTTAGAAAATAGGAGGTTTATAGTTTACTGTCACGAGTCATGTGATGTGATGTACCATTACCTCATCAGATTTTGGAAATTGAAAGTTGCTAGCCCCCACTGCTCACCGTCTAACATTTTTAGATATTAGAACCATTCGTCGTTGAATGCATAAATAAATTATAAATGTTTTTGGGAAATAAAATTATGATAAAGATAAGATAAAATAATATTATGAATAAAATTATATTAAATAATATTATTTTATTTTACGTTTGATGTGTGTAAAGATTATGATAATATAATTTATTTATTGATCAAAATTATTTTTTTAAAATTTTATATAATTTAAATTATTAATATAATTTTTAAAAGTATAATAAGATATATAAGTTTAATTTTATGGATTAAAAATAATGCTCCCTATTTTGAAAGGATGAAGTCATTTTATATCAAGAAAATGATTAATTTTTCTTATAATTTTATAATTTTTAGATACAAATTAAATATAATAAAAAATAATTATCATTTTATCTCATTTATCATCAAATACACTAAATATGACCTACATATGCAAGGGTTATACGTCCGAGGAAATTTGAAAGTTAAATAATATTATATGATGCTGCAAAATAAAAGTTGTTCTTTGCATTGTACAATCATGCAACTACATTCAGTTGGTTAGATTGCTTTGTCTTTGACGTTTGAATATGCGTGCAAAAGTACATGCATCTTTTTTCATTCATAAGTGATTTGGACTTTGAAGTTGACTGGATTTGCCCAAAACTCTGTAGGCTAGTTTAAAGGTTCTTGTTGCCTGTAGTTGTCACTTACAAAACACCTAGTCCAGTTTATCTTGGCTTTGTCTCGAATTTAGTTGGCTGAAGCTGACTTATTCTTTCAGTTTGTGTCTGTATACTTCATCATCATGGAGGTCAATTTATGTGTTATCTCTTCTTTTCATCGAAATGGTGGAAAGATATAGAAAGATACTTGAAACTTAGAATGTTTTTCAACATCATAATGTTTGATTGCTTTTTGGCATTGGTAGGCTCATTTTGACTATTTATCCCAACTGTAAATTAATTGACCCTTTTAGACCTTTCTGAAAAGGAGTGCATAGCATTAAATTATCGTTGTCAACAAACACCAATTATTTAGTTGAGGATCGCAGTTGTTACTACTATCATCCTGTCATGCATGCTTTCTTATTCGGGCCATAAACTATCAATGAGGTTATGAAGCTAACTGATTGTAAAATGATTCTATTTGATATAATGTGCGTAATCGACACTATAAGTAGTTCAATTTAAATGATTTCCAAACATATTTGTCACTCCTTTTTCTCGCTTTGTAAAGCCTAGCCATGTAATTTAATTTCTTATGCAGTTCAATGTTATTTTAAAATGCATTTGTCTTTCTCACTATCCAATGGATAACTTTTTCATATGTTTTTTCTATTTGATATTGCTTTTGAACCCATCTCATAGGTATTCATGTGAGCATAATGCATAGACATAACAATGTTAAACATAATATGATTACATAATACAAAAATAATATAAAAAAATATGAAAGTAACATATTTTAAAATTTTAACAAAAACTGTATAAGGGTTTAACAATAACCAAAAAATATATTTTGTTCTTGTCGAGTCAACATGAATTGCAATAAGAGAATTTTTGTGTTTTATACGTGTTATACATGAAATAGACAAATATGGATAAAGAAATTTTAAGATCTAATTATGTTGGTTTCTTCTAAACGTTCAAGTTCTGAATTTAAATTGATGTGTCATTTAAATGTCGAGACCCATAGGTCCCTGCTCTTGATTGTTTACAAATGTTCTGATAGTTTGTTCTGAACTTTGTTTATAGTCAAATGTATCATGATGGTTACCTGCTTGTGTAGGTCCAATCTATTTCTGGTGGGAGTTTAGTTGATTCTACTCTTTCAAACTCCCTGTGTGAGGACTCTGCTCAAAGTTCTCCGAGACACTCTAGCAGACAAAGGTTTGCTTTTGCTGTTTATTTTGCACTTTGACTGATGTTCTTAATGATGCTAACAATTCTAGCTGGCTTTTTCAATTGACAGCATACTTCCACCACCTGCCTTTGGCTCATCGCCCAATCTTGAAGTCCTTGCCCTTGAAGAAAATAAATCTCAATATCAAGATGGAGATAGTTCCGTACATGCCAATTCACTTTTCTCCCGGTATATATTTATGTCTTAAAATGTCATTAGGCAAGGGGTGATTGTCTCAACTAAGATTTTGGACTAAGATTTTGGTTAAGTTAGTGGTAGTTTAGGTTTTTGGACTTGATCATCTTATCATTTTTGAATATTATATAGTGGTTCTTTAAATATTTGAGTGCATTAATTGAAAAGCTATTGTAGAAGTTAACTTTTCTTTCCTCAGAGCCATGCTTCCTCTCCTGCTATCTTTTGTTGACTTCAGTTTAAAGTGTCTTTCTGCATATTCGTGTTATGACATTTATAGTCATATTCTGCTTTTGTCCATCTGCATTACTGTTCATCGACTGATACTTGTGTCATTTTTGGTGAAGGTTTGTAAATACTTACTATCCATTTGGACGGTGAAATTTATATTCTTTTCTAATTGATGCTGCTGCAGGCCCATGCATGAAATTACATTTTCAACAGAAGACAAACCAAAACTTCTCAGTCAGGTATATGATAGGTTTGTTTTTTCAAATTATAAGGGTAAATTTTTTTTATCATCTTGTTATCTTGAAGTTGTTGCTTTAAGAACTCGGATTGTTATATTCTTGGTTTATTTTGGAATAAAATTAATGATAAACAATGCATCTTAAATTCCATCTGAGCTTTTGATTCAATCAACTGGCAGCGCATATTGTTATCCGGCTAGTCTTTTTGCCTATAAAAAGAACTATTATTTTATTGTTACCCAGGCTTGAATAACTCCAAAGAGTCCTTGAGCTGCTATGTGAAATGCACATCTTTTTAAATATTTGACCGTGCAATATTGCTTCTCATTCTGTTGGGTCATACCCATGCAATACTTGCAGTTGACGGCATTGCTTGCGGAGATTGGGCTGAACATCCAGGAAGCACATGCATTTTCCACAGTCGATGGATACTCCTTAGATGTTTTTGTTGTTGATGGTTGGCCTTATGAGGTACTTTTAATACCTTACTTCTATATCTACGGATATAATTGTTTTCTACAATGCTATTTAACTCAAATAAAAAAAGCTCTCATGATTGGTTTTTCAATATTTTATTTTTATCTGTCAATATAACTGCTCTTTTGATTTCTAAAAAAAAAAAATTTATATAAGCTGTATGTTTCCTCAACTTATGAATTCTTTTATTCGTTAATTTAGAGGGTATTTCTTTTCTTGGACTCACATTAAACTTTCCTTTATAGAACTAGATGAGTGCTTATTGCTGTACCGAAATGGTTTAAGCGTTGATCTATCAGAAAAAAATATAATTTGTTTAGAACTTGCTTGACAGACTTGTGATATTGAATTGTCAGGAAACAGAGCAGCTTAAAGTTGCTTTGGAAAAGGAAGTCTTAAATGTTGAGGTAATTCCCTACTGCAGTTTTAAGTATGTGCAAGTTCCTTAATTATGATACTTTGAATGTTATCTAGGGTATTATATGTGAAAGATCTCTTGTTTTCTTTTTTCCGAGGTGTTTTCATTCCAACAACACTAGTGATTAATATTGAATGCCGTGGTGTTAGTCCTATCAGCAAAGCTTAAATTCACTTGCACTCAGTCTGCTTATCTTTTTGGATAAATGTTGTTTTATTCATACAAAAGAAGCAAAATAAACTTGCTAGAAAAAACTAGTTGCTCATGCTACAAATAGTCTGTACAGATTACAAAAAAGAACAAACAAGTTCACTTAATTCAGACCCCAGGAGCTACACAACTTCTGATTTCTTGGGCTAATGACTAACTAATTGAGGAGAGTTGCCAAGCTTAAGCTGGAGAGTTGTCAAGTTCACTGAGTGTGCTAATAATTTTTATCTTGCCATATTTTGTTAACGTACTGGTTTATTGAGAGTAATTTGGTAAATTTATTTTAGCTGTTTGCCTTTGACAACTTTCTCTAGCTTTTCAACTGGAGCATTGCATGATAATACTTACAAAATTGATCAGCTGTAAATATGCCATTCTGTTACTTGACATATTTCACATTTTATGATATCATGATACATTGTTAATTTCCATGCATCATTAGACCCTTCTGTTGTTCTTCACTGAAGGTTCATGTGGTGAACGGTCAACTAGTTTTAACTTGTTTAATAATGGCAGGCTTGGTGACGGAAGGTAATTCATACTACAACCCTAACATTATGAAACTAAGCCCTTCTTGAGCCCTGCCTTCCCCCTCCCCCGTTCCCTCCCCTTTCCATGGTTTAGGTTAATAGGCTTTGAATGCTAATTGGTTCATTTGTGTCATGTGATCTGCATAAACTCTTCGGATGTGTTCCGTGCTCTTGTCTTTCTGATGTTCAATTCTAGATAACGTGTATATACTGAAATGTAATGTTTATAGAGAAATAGAAAATTTTAATGTGAGAGTTAGAATTTGTTATCTGAAAGATTGTTTTTACATTATGAGCAGCTCCAATGAGACTTTTCTTTCAATGTGATTTTTGCAGAAGCAAACTTGGCTGAAGCAACATTCCTTTTCTCCTACGAGGGAGTACGAGGAAATGGGGACCAAGGGTGATCAGAATTATGTGGCAATTCCTAATGACGGGACTGATGTTTGGGAAATTGATCCTAGACACTTGAAGTTCGAGAACAAAATTGCATCTGGGTCATATGGGGATCTGTAAGTGAATTAATTACTCTCTTATTGAGCTTCTTTTTTTTGAGCTTTAATATAATTGCCCTTTTTAACCTGTTTCAGGTATAAGGGTACTTACTGTAGTCAGGAAGTGGCTATTAAGGTCCTCGAGCCAGAGCGTATAAATACTGATATGCAGAAAGAGTTTACCCAGGAAGTTTTTATCATGAGGTTTGTGAAGAAATATATGGATTTACTACTGATTATAACTTTTGCGCCCCCCTCCCCCCCCCCCCAAAAAAAAAGGTGTTACGTTGTGTGGTTTTTACAAACTTATCATCATTTTGCAGAATATTATAAATTGAAGTCAAAGATACCTTTGTTTGCTGTTTGAATGTCCTATAGGCTCTGTTAGATTGCTGATCAGCTGATAATATTTGGCTTCTGTAATTGAGGTGTTTATGCTTCTAGAATTTGTATACGTCTATGTATTTTATAAAGAGAATACCAGTGGCATACACGTGCATTTAGGAAGTATTTACTTTGGATTTTGATGTCCTTGATCAGTGTTCTAACTTTTACGCCTTTCTTTCATCATGAAAATGCAGTGATTTTTAATAATTTATCAAAATAGAATGCTTATTTTGGATGACTGCATTAGTTCTAGGAATAATCTCTTCCTTTAATCAACAATTTGCTTCAAAATTTGCAGGAAAGTTCGGCATAAAAATGTTGTACAGTTTATTGGTGCATGTACCAAGCCTCCAGGGTTGTGTATTATAACTGGTACTTGTTGATACTTTATTATGAAAGTGAGATTTAAAAGATTATTGTTCTTTCGCTCTCTTGATTATTCTTTGCTACATGAAAGAAAATATTAATGTTGGTTTTCGTTCTCTGTCTTTTTTGCCTTCTCCCGTCTTTTCTCTCGGCAGAATTTATGTCTGGTGGAAGTGTGTATGACTATCTTCATAAACAGAGAGGTGTTTTCAAGCTTCCATCCTTGCTTAAAGTTGCAATAGATGTTTCCAAAGGAATGAACTACTTGCACCAAAATAATATAATCCACAGGGATTTGAAGGCTGCGAATCTTCTAATGGATGAAAATGATGTAAGATGCTTAAAGTTGCTTAAGCTTATACTTTCAACTAACTTAAGCTTGTCCTTAGTCCTTTGGTGAAGTCTTGCTTGATAATAAATTTTCTCCTATAAACATGGTTATGCTGTATAATTCATTGTGATCAAAGTCAAATTTAATGCATTTTCTCTCCTATAAACATGATTATGCTGTATAATTCAATGTGATCAAAGTCAAATTTAATGCTTTCACCCTATGTTTACTATCTTGAAAAATTGTATTACATGCTTTTGCATTATAGGTGGTTAAGGTCGCTGATTTTGGGGTCGCTAGAGTGAAAGCTCAATCTGGAGTTATGACAGCTGAAACTGGAACATATAGATGGATGGCTCCTGAGGTGAGCTCTTAATGCGAAGCTGCTACTGTTCCATGAATATTCCTAACTTCCCTTTGGGTGTCTCATGAATTATAAAATAAGAAGAATGAGAACGATGGATGATACGGCATCAGATGCAATGTGTCTTTTTCTTGAAAAGTGATTTGGATTTAATTGTTCTCCTGATATGAGAGATTTTGAAAAGGCAATTAAAATTTTCTTTTTTGAAAAGGCAATTAAAATTTTCTAAGTAACGTTCAGGTATTGGTTTATTTGCCTTTTTGTTATAGTCTTCACTTACTATTTCTTTATTATGAGTAGAAAGGAAAGAGGTTTGTAGCTTGATCAGTTTGCTCTCTGTATTCATTGTTGCTTTTATTTTCTTCTTTATATAAATGAGTAATAGCATTAATCCATATGAGTTGAGATTATTATTCCCCTCTAATTGGTTGTCCATCTCATCATTTTCTTACAACAGTTCTTTTGCATTGAAGGTTATCGAACACAAGCCATATGATCACAAGGCCGATGTTTTCAGTTTTGGAATTGTATTGTGGGAGTTATTGACTGGAAAGGTACATACTGCTCAGTCACTATCTTTTTATCGATATGTTCACGTTATGCATGTATGAAGATATCTGCTGGTTTGTTTTGGTTGGTCCGTTCCCATCGTTACCTTGCCTTTTATTTTCATTTTCAGCTTCCATATGAATACTTAACCCCATTACAAGCTGCTGTTGGAGTGGTTCAAAAGGTACGTCATCTGTGTTTCTTAATTTAATCGTGGTAATAGATCAAATGCTGAAAAGTTTTAGAAAAAAATTTTCTTCCCTCCCTACCGGCCTACAAGAAAGCAAGAAAAAAGGATCATGATAATGATAAAGCCATTGGAGGAATATCACTTTTATAGTGCTTAGACCAATATTACTTCACGTCATGGTAATCACATTTTTCATTGACAATGTTTCTAGGGTCTACGTCCTACAATTCCAAAGCACACTAACCCGAAGCTTGCTGAACTGCTTGAGAGATGCTGGCAAAAAGATCCGACACTAAGACCTGATTTTTCTGAAATTATAGAGATTTTGCAGCTGATTGCCAGGGAGGTTTGTTTTCATTCTGTGCACATAACCTTGTTTTTTCATGTATGATTTGCGAACATACTTTCCCTTTACCTTTTTGCGTGCACACACACCCGCACACATATATGATTTATTAACATACTTTCAATGACCCAATTCATATAAATACACACATATATGTATACACATGATTAAAATTTAATATGGTTGCCTCGAGTCATTGGATTGGTGACCTGTACTTAATAGTTAATTCACTTTCTTTTTCTATTCCCTTTTCTGAAGCACCATCTTAACACAGCTTTCATTTTGTGAATACAAATAGCGAAGATGAATATGATCTATATAAAAATTTAACTGAGGATAGGTTTGAAAAACAGGTAGGGGATGAAGGTGAGGATAGGCGTAAAGAGAAATCTTCCGGAGGCCTTTTGTCTGTCCTTAGAAGAGGCCACCACTAAACTAGACGTGTTATACAGTGATGTTTATAACCTGAACATAGGCTTTTAACTATGTTGGTCTTTCAGCACTGTGTTGTATTTTTTTTTTCAATGATCAAGTTATGATCGGGTTTTTTTTTTTTTTTTTTTTTTTTTTTTTTCATTTCCTAGTTTCTTCCTTTATTTATCGGTCTGCTTTTGTTTTTCTCTTTTATCTCGGCAATAAAATCTAATTTTTCATTTTAATTGATTTCTTTTTTTGTCATACTTCCATTTTAAGCAATAAGAACACTAATTCCGATTCTCTCTCAATTAACAATAGCCAACGCATGCCATTGTTCATTAAAGTTTTTTAAATGATGCCAGTATCCTTAATTTTATTATTGAGATATTATAAAACTGAAAATGATATATTGATATATATATATATATATATATATAATATTTTATGTGTTATTGACTTTTGTTAAGGAATGTCTTCAAACACTTTTTAAAGCTAATATATTATCTAATATCTATGTAGTAGTTGATAATTAATAGTGATTCAAATATAACATTTTTTAAAAAATATTTTTTAATATGATAATTTTGAAGAGTGTCTTAACAAAATAATTTTTTATTTGCAAGATAAAAATTTGAATTTGACTCTTTTAAATGGAGAAAAGATGGCACTATAGATATTACAAACTAAAAATGAAATATATGTACTTATATATTATGGGTTTTTGTTAAAGAAAATCTTCAAACTGAACACTCTTTAAAACTAATATATTATCTATAATAATATCTTTTAATTAAATGTGACAGTTAATAATTAATATGATAATTTTGATGTATTAAAAATATATTTTAATATGATAATTTTGGAAATTAACTTAAAAAGAGAGAATATTATTTACAATAATAGAATTACAATTAATTAATCAAAATTTAAAATTAAGTAGGACTTATTAAAATATATTACGTAATTTTTAATTATAATTGAACAATTGTAAAATTTTAGTAAAAAAATTATAAATAAAATACTCTTTAAAAATATTTTATAACAAAATAATTTTTTATTTGAGAGAAAAAAATGGAACATTTACGTTTTAAATGAATTCAAATAAGACCAAGGGTTGATTTGAGAGCTTAATTAGTCTAACGATAAAAGGCATCTGATATTATGAAGCTCTCAAATGGACTAAAATATGGGATAATTAAAATTAAACATAAATTCCTATTTGTCTTTCTCACAATTAGCTTTCATGACGTAGCCATGCATTTCTCTCTCTCTCTCTCTCTCTCTCTCTCTCTCTCTCTCTCTCTCTATCTCTCGTCTTCAACGCCACCTTTTACTCTTCTCCATATTCTCCGCAACAAATTTCCAATTTCGAAAAAATCCCAGTAAAGATGAAGCCAACCAATAATATCTTAGCAGCCGAACGCGAGATACCTACCTCCCTCGTCAAGAATCAAAAATTTTGAGCAATGCCTTGATTAATCAATGTCGACATGGAGATTGAAATCTTTCAAATCCCCAGACTCCTCCAAGCACGTAAAAGTAAGCAGTAGGGGCAGCAATAGCCCCAGGAACGAAGAGCTTCCTATCCTTTTTGATCACGAAGACGAACAACGCATCATGGATCGTGATCCCAATGATCCCAGAAAATTTCCTGTCACCGTTGAATCTGCAGAATCCCGCACGGGCAAAGATTCAGACCCCGTCAACAACAACAACAACAACAACAACAAAAACAAAAACAATAGTTTTAGGCAATCTAGCTACGAATTTTGGAGTGATAAAGGACAGAAAAAAGATGGCAATGACGGTTTTGATTACAAGAAACGATGGCAAGCCGTTGAGGAATCATCACCTTCGAAGATGAAGGGTCAGTTTTTGGGCAAACGAACCAACAGCAATGAGATTGCGTTAGACATGGACTTAGATATGGATGACCTTAAACAGGATCAGTCGGTCACTTCTAGAGATTCTAGAAGGGTTTCTTTCGAAACAGGAGTTCCAAGTTTTCAGGTTAACGTGACTGGCCCCATGAGGTACGAAACACAACAACAAGAAGGAAGAAGTGAACGCAGCGATGATGTTGCGAGACGTGAATCAGACGCGTCTCATGACAGTACTGCTATATCCCTTGTAGGAAAGTCAGGTTTGCTATCAAGAATGAGGAGCACTAAGTCAAGGCTTATAGACAGGTCACCAGAGGAGGTGCAGATGATGTCTGGCCTGTTACAAAAATCGGGTCCGATATGGTCTGGATTGTTGGGGAAGAGTTCAGATTTTGAAGAGGAAGATGACCCTTTTGCAGATGAAGATGTACCCGATGAATTTAGAAGAGCTAATCTTAATGCATTGACTTTACTTCAATGGGTGAGTCTGATTTTGATTGTTTCTGCGTTGATTTGTAGTTTAGCAATTCCTACTTTGAGGAAACTGGATGTGTGGGAGCTTAAGTTGTGGAAATGGTTAGTATTGATCTTGGTCTTGATATGTGGTAGGTTGGTGTCTGGATGGGGGATTAGGTTGATTGTGTTTTTCATTGAGATGAATTTTATTTTGAGGAAAAGGATTTTGTATTTTGTTTATGGGGTAAGAAAACCAGTGCAAAATTGCTGCTGGTTAGCCCTTGTGCTTTTGGCTTGGCATTTCTTGATTGACAGTAAAGTTGAGAGGGTAAATAGAAGTAGATTACTTGAATATGTTACCAAAATTCTAATATGTCTTTTGATTGGTACATTGTTGTGGTTGATCAAGACATTAATAGTGAAAGTGATGGCTTCATCTTTTCATGTTAGTACTTATTTTGATAGAATTCAAGAGACATTATTCACTCAATATGTGATTGAAACACTATCTGGTCCTCCACTAATTGAAGTCCAAAGAACTGAAGAAGAATATGAAAGGACTGCAGCTGAGATCAGTAGATTGCAGAATGCTGGGGCTACTGTGCCTTCGGATCTTCGGGCAGATGCCTTTCCACCACCACGGAGTGGAAGGTTACAAAAAAGATTTACCAGATTAAAGACTCAAAATTTATCTCGGATATTTTCGAAGAAGGGTGATAATAAGATTGGATTAGAGCACTTGCACAAACTCAACCACAAGAATATTTCAGCTTGGAATATGAAGAGGTTGATGAAGATGGTCCGACATGGGACATTGTCCACATTGGATGAGCAGATAATGGAGCAACCTACTGAGGATAATTCGATAAAAAAGATTAGAAGTGAACATGAGGCAACGGCTTCTGCAAAGAAAATTTTCCACAATGTGGCTCAGCGGGGTTCAAAGTGAGTATTGGTTAGCTAGAATTACTATTTGCTATTTCAGAGTTGTATGCTTAGTAATTCTGGGCATGTATGAGTTCCAATTAGTTTTGTAACTCGTTTTGGTTGATAGGTTTATCTACTTGGAGGATTTGATGCGATTTATGCGAGAAGATGAGGCTTTGAGAACAATGAGTACCTTTGAAGGTGTTTTTGAGAAGAAGAGGATTAGCAAATCATCCATGAAGAACTGGGTGGTAAGAACTAAGAATCGAACTAGAAAAAAATCTTCATATGAAAAACAATAGTGTTATAGTATATACCAATTGATCTTCATTCTTCCAACTCAATCCATATGTATATATATTACCTATTGTTTCAGTTGAATGCTTATAGAGAGCGAAGAGCTCTTGCCTTGACACTAAATGATACAAAGACGGCTGTGAACAAGCTTCATCATATGGTAAACTTCGTTGTTGGCACCATCATATTTGTCGTCTGGCTTGTGATTCTGGAAATTGCCACCTCCAGGATTATCGCACTCTTAAGCTCCCAGCTGGTCCTATTGGCCTTCATCTTTGGGAATACTTGCAAGACAATATTTGAATCTATAATCTTCTTATTCATTATTCACCCTTATGATGTTGGGGATAGGTGTGAGATAGATGGGATGCAGGTACATAGAAAAATTATCTTTGAATTATGGTGTCTCTTTCATTTGTTCATGTTTGCATTTCATGTCAACTAAAGTAACTTGTTTCTGGACATGCTTTAGTGCGTGGTGGAAGAGATGAACATTCTTACTACAGTCTTCTTGAGATACGACAACATGAAGATGATATTTCCGAACAATGTTCTTTCAACGAAGCCCATTGGCAACTATTATCGTAGTCCAGATATGGGAGATGCAATTGATTTCTATATCGACATGGCTACTCCAGTAGAAAAGATTGCTGCCATGAAACAAAGAATAATAGGGTAAGTACTAATTTGTAGTATTATCGATTTATAGTACAAAATGTGAAAAACATCTGGATTTATTCAATGACCACATTTGTTTTGTCATGAATGTTGTTGCAGTTATATTGAGAACCGCAAGGAGCATTGGTGCTCTGAGCCAATGATTATATTAAAGGAACTTGACACATGGAACAGGTTGAGAATGGCGGTGTGGTTGACTCATAAAATTAACTACCAGGACATCGCAGAGAGGTGGGAAAGGAGAGCTCGATTGGCAGAAGAAATGGTGAACATATTTAAAGAACTTGACATGCAATTCCGTTTAGTGCCAATCGACATAAATGTCTGCTCCATCCCTAACTCTAGTCGCATTCCCTCTAGTTGGGCTACTCCGGAAAGTTCATCTAACTGAGGAAACAATGAAATTGGTTTTATTTTTTTTTTCTTTCTTGACCAGGATATGATTGTTGTTCTGATTATTTTGGGAGGTTTCTTTTCTCCCTTCATTCTTTGTTATAGTCTTCATACAATATGAACAAGGGATTTTCTTCAAGAACGTTGGCAACCCTCAACGACGTGATTAATTTCTTCTGTCATAATTTGGCAATCCGGATGGTGATTCAACAACTGCTTTTTGGGTACTACATTTTTTTTTTTTTTTTGTATAATAGGAGTAATATTTTTGTAATAAAGGGATCCTTTTTGCACCTTTTAGGTTAGAGGAACACATATGTTAAAACAACAAAAAGGATTTTCGGTTTTACATTTTATACATCTTAATGATTTCTCCTTCCTAGTCTTTTAGTGTTTTTAATTCTTGATATACCTAATTCTTAACATTTTTATCTACTCAATTCATATGAAAAAAAAAATTACACATTTATATTCTTTTAAATTCGTAATTTTTAAAAGATTAATCGGTGTATATGCCATCTAAACTATTATTTAAGGATATATATTATATATTAGTGTTTAACAATGTTTTCCAGATATTGGAGATGAAATTTTATTGAATTAATCTTTTACTAAAATTATGTTTAACTTGAATAAGGTAAATATTTAATTAAATATAAAATTACTATTATTTTTAAATTTATTTTGGTATAGCTATTTCTTACATATGTGGTAGTCCATAGACATTTCAATTAACATATTTTAAAAATTTTTTAATAAGAGAACATTTTTAATTTTTAAAGGGTAGAAAGGGAAAGAAAACATAAAACCCAAACGTTGGCCCCATGATCCTTGAATTCACCACCGGTAGTTTAGGGCGCAATTCAGGACATTCGGCCCATGATCTGGGCATAAGAAAAGAATAAGCAAAAACCGGGTTTTAGGCGGTGAAACTCGGCCCAAAAAATGGGAAAGGCGGTGCGTTTAAAAAATAAATATAAGCGGTAAAGCCTAGCGAGTGAACTGCAACTTCCTCCGCTTCTCCACACTACAACGGTCACAATGTGCGTTAGAGACCAGATTTCGTGCTGTTCTTTCCGATCTTCTTCACGTCTATGTTATTCCCTCTTCTTCTTCTAGTACTCTTTTCTTTTCTTCCTTCTTTATTTCTGTTGGGTTTTTTTCAGGTTTTCATGAAATATGGGTTTTCTTGAGTTTCAAGATTTCTTTCTGTTCTTCCCAATCTTCTTCACGTCTATGTTATTCCTCTTCTTTGGTACTCTTTCTTTTCTTCCTTTGTTGTTTCCTTCTTTAGGGTTTTCACGAAATATGGGTTCTCTTGGTTTTCATTGTTGAAAACACAAAAAACTTGAATGTGATGAAAAATTAAAAGATTCAAGAAAAAAATTTGATCGCAGCTCTTTCCACTTATTCTCTATTTCTTTTTTTCCCAAGAAAACAACCATTTACGTATAAAAGCTATTTTCATTTTTGTTTTTATTTTTGGCTTTTCTCATCACTGTTAGTAGTTATTATGGTTGATGTTACACTTCTTCCCAAGAAGTCTAGCTGTGTTGAAGCTCATTTCTCACATAGCAAGGAATTTTCCTGGACTTCTTCCCCATGGCAAAGCCAGTGCTGTTCAGCCCGTGATTCTTCTGATATTGCCCTTTTTTCGCCGAACCTGCATTTTGGTTTGTGATTTAATAGCTTTCCGTTGTTTAAAGCTTTTTCTTTTTTTATTGGCAATGTCTCTTTTAGATTGTGTTTAGGTTCTGTTAGTTTTTTTTATTGCACATTTCAAGGCTTTATGTTACTTTCAAGAATTATCTATCACATTTCAGCTCACGGCATGGAGTAATTTTTTATACAATTGGACTACTTCTTTCCTTGCTTTGTTCTGGATCTCCAGATGCATACTGAATGCTTTTCATTGATGCCATGTGTGTCATTGAAGATAAAAGGAGAAGTTTGTGGGGATTTCTATTGATATGATTATGGTTTCACTGCTTCCTTATGTAACTGAGTGATCTTAAGTTTATTATTTATGTTTGTTCTTATCTATGGCGGCTCGGTTATTTGGCATTCTGATCATAATGCATCTAAAAACATAAAACAAAACTAACACGCCTTTGTATTCATTCCAGAAATTTTGTTTATAGGATCCCTCTCTGTGGAAAACTCAAGCCTTGCAGAGCCCACTGGGTTAAGGTGTTTCCATCCTCCTTTTCTGGAAATTTAAGTGCTTCAACCTGTCTCTGTGATATCCCAACAAGCAATAAGCCCATTGATGGCCCTGGCATCTTGATTAACCTCTTGGGTAGAAACAGATGGCAACCTTTTGCAACTTGGACCATAAAGCTTCTCAGCAATGCTTAACTGAAGGGACGTTATTTGCGGAAGGGCTCATCAATACATCATTTGTTTGTGTTGCATGCTCTTTTATGTAATGGAGATGTGATTTGCTTATGGTGGGTTATATTTATATTTAATAATGAGCTTCTTGAATGCAATTTTTATCGCTTAGTTCAGTTAGTTTGTTCAAATGGTTTCTAATATCCTTTTGTCACAGTAGCTAACAATTTATATTTTTTGGAAGGCATGTTTTGACTTTGCATGTGTCATGGATCAGTGATGAGTTATGACAATGTTCCCACTGAGAATTTAATCCAATCTATATCCAACATGTTAAGTGAGGACAAAGAGGGACTCCATATATTCAGGTGTGCATTCTGATTCTTGATTCTCTTTTTGCTTGAATTTTGTGATTGAAGAAAAAAAGGTTCCAAAAACAGGGCACTATTCAAATATGTAGGAACCATGTGAAATAATTATAAAATTATAACCCAAAGAATGACTTCTAATTATTGGGATTATAACCTTATCTTGCATTTCCAGATTGCATTTTGCACTGCATGTATACGGATTTCAAGAACTTGTCCCCCTCATATATGGATGCATGAATATCTTATTTATGTACTTTGTTGTCCAGAACCACGCATTTTGTTGATTGATTGCCTTCAAGTTGCTCTCTCTACTCGTGGTCCCCATGTTGGAGTAGGGACAACAGATCATGGGTTTATCAACCTTGAATGATAAATCAATGGCAAACCCAAAGGTTGGAAAGAAGACATATTGTTGATATTGATCCTTTCAAGATCAAGCGCCAAAAGGTAGATGGAGAGATTAAGTTTGCAAACACTAATGTTCCAGGGGTATTGAACTTACTGATGCAGTTTCTTATGAAAGAGAAGAAGGATATGTGTACTCAATGCATGAGTCAATTCTTTTATTGTTGAAACTTTAAACTTTCCTAGTTTCAAACATGAAGCTTTAAGACCAGATGTTGTGTTAATGGCTCTTAGCCTGCTTTCCTTTGCCTTCCGTAGATATCATCAGACTATGCCACTCTGCAACTTTTGGCAGATGCAGACTTGGATTTGTGAGCAGTTAAGCAAAGATATGCAAATTACTTGTTAGCTTACTCATTTTCTTGGTTTCACTATCATTTACTTTGGTTCATGTCATGCAGGCAAAGCAAGGGAGTTCAATCATGCTTGATTTTCCATTACCTGGAAGAAATTTATAGTATGCTGCTTATACAAGATAAGGCAGTGGATTTAATTAACGTTATAAAAACTTGACTTGTTAGGAATATGCTCTACTAAAAGCTTTCATGTGTTTTCCTAAGTTTCTAAATGAAGAAAATAGCTCCTGAGTGTTTCACTTTCACTCTCGCTGAGTAAGCCTCATGTATCTCATGCTATGAGTTCAACAAAAAACGCATCACTGAAAATCAAATTTATATATTGAGACAGGTATTTATATGAAAATTAAGACATAATTTTACAAGTCTTCTTTGCAGATATAGTTTCTGATAATTCCTCCGCTTCTCTTTACTAGTTCATGTAACTCAGTGCAATCTATTTAAGCTTTAATTTCAATTAGATGGGTTAGTGATTATGCTACGTAAATAGTTTTCCTCATTCAAAAAATGTACTTCATTTAACAGTTTAATTATGGAGTCTATCATATTTTATGGCATGACCGTTTGTTGTTGTAATTAGCAAATTATGTGGGCTTGTGTTGTGATCATACTGTCAGTAATTGGATGATGCTGTAAAATTTGAATAATTTGAAACTAATGAATGTCAATTATGGCCGGTTTATCCAAATGGTTCATGTTAACGTTTCCTTTTGTCTGTTAATTTGAGATGCCTGCCTATCTGTTGAGGAGAATGAGGGTCTCATGTTCTGTGATTTGTTTTGACTACTAAGAATGTGGATAAAGTATTCTATACTAATATATTTTTCTGGGAGGGGGGTGGTGAAGAGGAAATGGTGTCTTATCTTATGGATAAAATTATCATCGTGAAGCTTCCTAACTTGAATTCATTTGCCTATATCTTCCACCCTTTGAATAAGCAGGTTCTTGGAGAAAGATAAGCATAAAAAGGTCAAGAAAGTGATTTCTTACTGTCTTGTATTTTTATCAAGCGTATATGGATCTTACCATGGTGTTGTTGGCATAGAAAATTGTTTCTGCAAATTATTTCTAGATATCAAACATGAGAAACAGAATGATACTAGATTATTTTGCCCGATGATGAGCCAAATTCTAAAATCATGCATCCGCCCAACACCCGCAGTTTGGAAAGTGGTTACAATTTTGATTTTGTTTATCTTCAATCTTTATGATGAGTCTTTCAAAGACGAAGAGGTTCAGCTTGCCTGTGTGGGAGCTATTCGAATGATGCTTTGACATGGCTCTCATTATGTTCTGCTTAAATTGAGAACAGCGTGGGTTAGCTGCATTCTGAACTCAGATTAGTTCTTTCCTTAAAGATCCAATATTGAGTGTTTTTTTTATTTTTTATTTTATCATCATGTCAGAATGGTGAGGAAAACTTCCTGGATATGGTTAAACATGCTCTGGCAGCAACTGAAGATCCCCAGATAATAGAAACTCTTCTGGAATCCGCTGCAGAAATTATGATGGCAGTTGGTGTTTAAATTCAACTCTTATTTTCTTTGATCTGATCGGTTGATCAGCTTGACAATCTGTGCTTTATCATCTTGTCAAATTTTAGAATGGACCTACAATTTATAGCCTGGAATGGTACAATTTTCGAGCTTTGCAATCTGGTGCTCAGTAACATCTTGGGCACCCTTGATGGATCAAATGAGAAAGTTTGTCATCAAATATTACACAACTTGTATGCCTTGCTCAAGAAAGAAACTCCCTGTCACGATTCATTGTTAATTGTTACAGGGCTTGCTTCTTTGGATCATAAAGCTTACATTTTCTATTCAAATGTGACTGCTTGGAACCTTGGGAAAGCTCAGGACATGGCTGCGACCGGGACTTCAATTAGAATCTGCTCCATCCCGTCCTGCATTTCTTCCTTACACAGCAATGTTTGTGAATTCTGGACTGTCAAATACGTGCTGCTCAATCCATTTAAATTGAAATTGCTTTACTAGTTTGTCTATGGTTTTGTCGTTTTAAACTTGTCATCTTCTGAAACATGAGAACATAGTGTTTCAAAATTTAGAAACATGTATTTATTCCTTGTTTCCTTGACGAAAAATTTGTTTGAAGTTTTCCTCAAATCAGAACATATTAAGACACTGTAATGTTGCAAGTAGATACTTGAGAGAGTATTTTTTTGAAAGTGAATCTCTTTCTGTTTCTCACGAGCCCTCAATTAAACAAATTAAAAGATTTAATTCAATAATAAATGCATTTCTAAATTTAAAAAGTTAGATTCTAATATTCTTATGAGCATACTTTTTCTTGTTCCTCTTCCTAATGTATTCAAACTGGTAGACGATAATATCTTAATCTGCAAATTGACCTGCAATTTACTTTGTGACACTGAAGTACTTGAATTGCACATTAGTCAAGACTAGAGACATCATCCAAATGAAATTATAGATGCATTTAGGAGTAATAATTTGGTAGGTTTGTGAGAATTGTTTCACCGAGAAAACCCACATCTGTCTATGTCTCATAGTTAATCTTGCCTTCCATGGGTGAACTAATCTGAGTGACCAACGTCATATCAGTTTTGCTACATATTTAGAGACTGAGTGAATTTAATTGTAACAATATCTTTCAATAGCTTTCTTCTGTCTTGCATAAATGGAACTTTCCATGAAATGCTCCATCGATAATGAAGGGAAGAGACTTTCACCTTCGATAATTAGTGTGTATCATTCAAAACACCCTCGTAACTAAACCTCCATGGCGTTACTGCTGTTTTTGTCACTTGAAGTTGAAGGAGCACTCCTAATCGTCAAACTCTGAACGAAGGCTATCATCTGTCAAACAAAAAACAAAGTTGTTTTAGTTACATAAGGAATGAATCTGCAAGCTATAGATAACAATGATCAGCAGGATCATGCTGCTCTGGTGATTTTCTACTAATGTCAAATGCAAAGTTCTGTGCTCTATGAATAGAAGGGTTGGATCATTCTTAGTTGAAATAACAGCTTTTGTTCTGTTGGAAGTTTCGAATCTCCATAACCTATTGGCTTTGGGGTTCTTAAAGACAGCTGATTTAGGCTACTCTGCTGAATGCAGAATTTATAACCAGTTAAGGGTTTTTAGCAATGTCACAGACAGTGACTTGTAGGTGAAGGCATTTCTATTGGTATATGTACGTGCTGCAGTCTAAATATATAAGATATGGTGGTGTAAATAAAAGTTCGTACCAATGTGATCGCAATGCACATGATGCTAAAGCCAGGGAAATGAAATGGTGCCTCTTCAGACAGGAACAATGCTGGGTGAATAGAAGGAGAGGTGGTTAATCGACATTTTCCAGTAAATGTTGTAAATTTTTGGGAAAAGGGAAGAAAATACCAGTCTTTACACACCTGTCAGAGGACTAAAAATTAATGGAGCAATGATGTTAGCCAAGGAACTCACGCCTGAGATGCATCCTTGAGCCTTCCCCTGATATATTGTGTTTGTACCAGTTAAAATTATGCATGAAGAAGTGGATTGAAATAGGAGAGAGGAACAACACTGGAGATCTAATTTGCTACAATTACCTGCTCTCTAGCGCCAGTTTGTTTTGATACAATACTGCGTAACTGTATAATTCATAAGATTCAATCAACAAACGTAGTCTTTCAGGTAATAGAACAAATCTTGCAATGACATGGAAGTAAAAGAACTTACAGATGGTGGCGCAAAGACCATCACAATAGACAATGCAGTAGCTGCATACGGGACCTGAATGAACACGTCTTTTGCTTAAATTCTTACTCAGAAGCAAATATCTAATCATTTGAAGGAATGAGTTATAAATACTGATAAGTGGATTGATTTTTGGTGTAAAAACATTATTTGCAAATATGAAATACAAGCGAACTCGATTGATATCCAACTTTACTTTTCCAATTTATCTGATATGCTGATTTCTATTTCCTCAAGGTGGTTTCCATGTCTCCTTGTTTTAAAAATCGGGGTCACACAATTTGAGGTTATCTCAACAGGAATTAAAATGAAACTAGCAATTGTGATGAAGAAATTACCCAAGCTGACCAGGCTATGCTGTAAAGAATGGCCTGCAGAGCACGATGTACAAATTCATCAGTGGCTTGTCTTCCCGACAAATGGTTACAATGTCATCAACTTGCAAGGAAATAAAATCAGAGGGAGCAATAAAAAAGGTTGAGCAAGGTGAAAAATGAACACAACTCTTACATTTACAAAGGTGACTAAGAGTCCTATTGAAAGCAACCGTCCGTCTCCTATGGGAGATACTAATAAGGGCATGATAAACAACTGCAGGATTCAGAAGCACGCAAGAACAAACACGTAAATTAAATCTAGATTGTTACGAACTCAAAATATATATGAAATGGAAATCGGGGAAAACAAAAGAAAATGAGAGAATCTAATAGTATGACAAATGTACCAACAACAATATTTATACCAAGTACATATACCTGTGAAATGGTTGCTACAATTCCAGCAATTAGCATCAAATCAGCAAACTGATTCTTGTTAAAGTGGAACCGCGCCTTCAAATAGTACTGCATGGTAGAAAAAATTTCCATGTAAGAGACTTTGAACTGTTTGATCACAAATTAGTACTCAGGGATGAGAGATACACAAGCATAAATTTGAACAAAGTTTTGATCAATTTATTAAACAATCACTTTCCAAAACATAACTTTTTTGATAAATCTGTAAAACTTTAATGACATATATTCTGCTTCATAAACTGCTTATCAGTTACAAGAAACTAGCTGCCATTTCTGGAAAAAAGAAAAGTTTTGAAGAATAGTTTGCAGCTATGCACGTTTGGATCATGAGATAAGAAAAAAAAGATCTTATCTCAAGTTTCATTTTGGTAAAGATCGTACCATTGATGAAGATATCATCCCACCCTCTGCAAGACTATTGAAGAAAGCAACAACTGCAGCTTGGGAAAATGATGGACTGAAATTAAAACTTTATTAGTCATTTCAAACATTAATAATATCAATAATACAAGTACATCATATTATTGTGTGAATTTTAGGCCTATCCAAACAAATTATGTATTCACTCTTTTAAGTTCATAGCTTACTTTACTAGTTCTGGGATGGATGAATATTCCCAGGGTTTCATGATTATTATTTTCACTCTGATTCAGATATAAAAATATGACCATCAAATCATGAATCCTAGCACGGCCTAATCTCTGTAACTTTACCAGGGAGGAACTCAGATATCCTTTCTATTTCAGTTGATGGAAAAATTAATTCTGCTGAAATAAACTTCTCAATAATCATTCATTACTCACTTTCTAAGCTTTCTTTCATTTAGCAAAAATTCGAGGGAAAAGAACATCTGAAGATTCTTCTTGAATATATAAAGTGCTATAGATAGTATAATTTATCACAAGCAGTTTATTTATTCAATTTTTCTGAAAATTTCCATTCAAAAAGGTTAGGCAGGGCTGGCGGTTTCATGAGTGCAACTCAAGTTTTTTACATTAACTTTACCATAAATGACCTTAATTGAACACCAAAGTGCTAGAAAAATACTATATATAGGAAGCCTTACCTGCTCTTCAACAAGCAAATAATATCCCCCAAGGATGGAATTTTCTTGAATACTGTTGTCCTTTCAGGTGCATTAACATCCTTTTGAATGACGTCTTCCCCTTCTTTCAAGATTGGTTGTGTCATACCATCAACTTGATCGGGTATACTTTCCTCAAGGAATATTCTCATGTACACTACTGCAAGCATTGATACAAATGTAGCTACCTGGAAGGATTTAAAAAAACAATACTTGAAGCAAATGCTTTGAGATGCAACAAAAAGCAAAGGTACTACCTATAGATTCTAGAGAAGGCTTAAGGAAAAACCTGAAATGTGGAACCAGTGGAGAGGAAACGAGCTGCTAAGGTTGCACAGACAAATGCAGCTGAGCTTATGCCTGAAAGAATTCCAAATGCAGATGCCCGTTGGCCATCTGAAATGTTGTCTGCCTGCAAAGGAAAGACCACAATTTCAGCATCAGATCAAAATGTAAACAACAGCAATATGGTGAAGCCAAACATTGTTGTGTTTGATAATCTAATGCAAATTGTTATCTTTTCCTGAAATCATTTTGTTTGTGCTTGACAATGGATTGAAATAAAACGTTACTAATATCTAAAATCTGTTAAACATTAGCCTGTTTGACATCTTATATGAAGCTCCATCATTAATAATATAATTCTAAATCAAGTTCAAGCTTGTGAATGCGTGCGTATCTGCCAAAATCACAAAGCAATTAAGGATGATTCAGGGTTATTACCAAATAAGCAAGAGCAAGGCAGTTAATGCTGCCTTCACAGACCATGGCAGTGAGAGTCCTGAGGGCATAGTAGGCATAAAAATAATTGGTTGTTCTGCTGCATGCCAATATAGCTGCAAGAAGATCGTCATATAACTTAAGACATATATAAACTTTTGCATTGTTTTAATGTAAAACAAAAACCAGGAATCATAGGTAATGTTTAGTTTAAGAAAATATAATTATTTTTTATTTTTATTTTTTTGAAAAATAAAAAATATGAATGAAAACGCATTTGGTAATTGAAAATAAAAAATAATTTTAAAAATGAAAATAAAAATATTTTGAAATATGAAATTAAAAAAATATTTTTAATTGTGAAAACAAAAGATTTATATTATTATTATTTTTGTGAGTTATTATGTTTAAACATTTTTTAGTATCATTAATTAACAAATATATTACATTTATAATTAAATACCATTAATAATATTATTATTAAATATTTTATTTATTTTCCTATTTTATATTTTTTAAAAATAATTTTTATTTTCATTTAATAAATAATTTTTAAAAAAATTAAAAAATATTTTCTCAACCCATACAAAACCTTAACTTTGCTAGCGTTTTTAGGCAACCGACTAACATCAAGATGTGACCACTCATACGAAAAAGTAGTTGGTCCAAGGAAATTGGTTCCTTATGTGCGCGTGGTAAGCAAAGGTGCAGTGAAATTGGATGCAAAAAGCAAGGAAAAAAGAGAAAAAAAAAAAAAAGTAAAAAAGCACAGAGAAGTTAAAGTAATTGGCTGATGCGGGCTAAAATAGTGAACCTAACAGGCAAACAACTTGCAAAACGACATGCCAAAATGGCATCCTTTGAAAAATCTGCCAACATTTTTCTCACACAGCCAAATTCAAAGGTGTAGAATCTATAGATACATGAAAATGACTAGTCAGACTCGGTCGGCAAAGTAACCATTACGTGACCCGTCAAGCCACACCAATTGGAACAAAGCCCAAGCATGCTTTAATCATATGTTTGGCCCAATATAGGACCCTGGAAGCACCGATGAAAAGCAGTAAAATCTGTGTTTCATATCATACCGAGGGGAATAATGGGTAAAGTCATAGGTAACGTCAGCAGAGCTTTTCTTCCATACTGATCGGACAGATTCCCAATAAGTGGCATCATCAAGGCGGTTCCTAGTCCTATGACCTGCACCAATCACACCAGACATATGTATTTAACTTAGATTCTTTGGTATTATATTTAAGATTCCTGATATTTTTACTATGAATTTCTCGACAATGAAAATGGGTTTTTTAATAGATCCAAAAACTCATTAGTTAAAACAAATAATTACTGATATATTTATAAGATTATTGTAGCTATCCTGAAATCGACAGACAAAGTGCGGTGAAGCTGCTGGTATTCTATCCAAATCGAAGAATAGACTACAATGAAAGAAAATCTAAGCTTTTTTTCCTTTTTTTTTACCTTACAAAAGTTTTGAGAACTCTGTGCTGAAAATTTGTCTGAAAGTTAAATTGCAAGGGACAAGTTGAAATTGACATGTTATTATGACCCTTTGTCGACACTGTAGCAAGTTGCTTCCATCTCATAATTAGGTTTTGCCTTCTTTCCAATATGTCACGCAACAATGGCATAATGGAGTGATAAAAAAAAGTTTGTGCGATGGTGATGTGTGCATATATGATATGTATGAGACATGTAGAAATCGCTTGTACATTACAATTATCCAAAATGGCACCATGCAAAATGGGAATCTGCTTGCTTGGAAGGGACAACTTAGCATTAATTTCGTGGAAATTTCCAACAAAAAAAAGGCACCCAATATTAGTAGGTTTGAACAGTAGGTAAGATGGTGATCCACATGGTCACTCAACTAAAAAAAAAAACCTTGTTTCCACATGTACTATCCCTATCATAAATAAAAATTGAAAGATACTGAAATTTACAGCAAGAAAATGAGGTAAAAAGTAAAAGATTCAAAGGAGGGAAAGGCAAAAATGAAAAAAAAAAGTTGAATTTTACATAGAGTACTGATTATGAGAAACAATATTCCTTGCTAATTCGAAAAAAAAAAGTGGTTCTTAAGTATTTTCGAATTTATCCATTCAAAATAATACTAAAAAACATGAAAATTGAGTAAATTTTATCATTAATCATTCAACTATTACAAAAATTTCAATTGGATGATTGAAATTTAATTTGTCCCAACAAATTAATCGAGTTTAATAAGTGTACTAAGTCACTTTAACCTTCAAAAAAAAAAAAAATATGTGGCTGTCACGTAAACTATCAATTCATTTAAATCGATTAAAAGAAGTAAGAGGAAGCAGAAAAAGAATGTTGGGTAAAGAAAGGGACTATGGTAACAGCAACACCACAAGGTAGTAGGAAAACAAAAATCTAAAAAGAAGGGAAAGGAGCTGTTCAGCAAAGAGTAAAGAAAGAAGGGGGAAAGGAAAAAATGAAAGTGCTTTTTTCTTTTATTTCTCCAAAGCTCAACATTTTGAAAACTAATATAGAAGCTGCTAGCTAACACAATAATCATGTTATTATTATTATTATTATTTTAATAAAATTCATTAAAAATGATTAGATTTGATACAAGATCTTTTTTGGATAAATCAGAATCTAGCGACTCAATTGACATTCTTGTAATAGTTTTAAGGAATCCCGGGCGCTGAATTTCAGGTAATCGTTATGAAGTAGGCACACCGTACACGTATATTGGGAAGCACACCGACATGTTCGAGTGTAACTGTAGAACTATGAAGGATGAACCTGTTTTTCTTTTTGTTTTTTGTTTGATTTTCGGTTTTTGAGAAGAAAAAGACAAGGAGTGCAACTTCCAAGAATTTTCAGGGATAAATATGAAGAGGATATTAAATGGTAGAAGGAAGGAAGAAAAACGTACAGCTTGTTGGAAACCAGAGACGTAAATGGCGAGGGAGCATTCATCAGTACCAGGGCAAAGGGCGAACATGGTAACGTCGGTAATGGCCGGAACCACAATGAAGCTTGCAAAACCTGACAGGAAAACCGTCACGAACAGATGGCTCAAACCTTTTAACTTCTTCTCCATCTTTCTCTCTCTCTCTCTCTCTCTCTCTCTCTTCTTTTTCTCTCCGAATGAAAAAGCAACTCCTAGATATTGCTGAGTAACGCCAGGAACTCTGAAAGCCTTTTCTCTTAATATAGTAAATGCTGTATGGGTTAAAGATAAGAGAGAGGGATTCAAGTAGATTTTTTTTTCCCTTTGATTTTCTTCTGAAAATGACAAAGAAGAGGAAAAAATAGACAAATGCTTAGCTTGTAATTATGTTCATGTAGAGATAAGCTGAAACTGCTAAATATGAGATTTTTTTTCTTTTTGTCAAATTGGCTTTATTAACCAGCATTTGACATGATTTCATGCACATGGTGACATAATTAATAGCCGAAATTGCAAAATTTTATTTCCCTAAGATATGTTTTGGTTTCAGTATTTGTATTAGTAGTAGTAGTAGTGTGACATTCATGTATAATATAAGACATAACCTAAGCTCAAAAAAATCTTGGTTGGGACCAAATGACTCCATTAAAATCATTAATCAAGAATAATTTAATAATTTTAAAAAGAAATTATCTTATTCATTATTAGTAGAGTTTTTAAAATTTATGAACGATTCTAAAAGAATTGAAAAGCTTATTGAAAGAATATTGGTGGAGTAATACGTTAGCATCCATGAGAGAAAATTGGAAAATGGACAATTTTTTTTTTTTTTTTTTACAAATGAAATCATAATTTGAGGATATAAAAATGAATATAAATTTTAAAATTTGAATCTCAAATTTATTAAATATAATAGAATGACAATATAAACCACTTACATTAATTCATGAGTTTTCAAACCAATTCTTTTTTTCTTTTTTTTTTTTTTGGGTCTTTTTGAAGTTTTAATTTTGAAGATAAAATTCATCTTAGCCTTACTCCATATATAAATAATACATTAATACTCACAATTTTCAAGCTATTTGGATTCTACTATAATAAAATTCGAATTCAAATTCGAATTCGATTCAATTATTATTGAATTGAGCTGAACTCAAATAATTTGACTTATCGATAAAGTTAAGTTCGAATATTATTATACTCAACTCAAGTAGTTCGTGAACTTAATTAAGTTTTTATATTTTAATATATTTTAATTATTTTAATTGATAAAATATCTCAAACTTTAGTTCAAATTCGAATACAAATAATCAAATTTTTATCGAATATAATAATCAAGCTTATTTTTATCTGTTAATCAAATTTAATCGAACGAGTTCAAGTAGCTCAATAATCATTTAGAGTCAAACTCAAGCTAAAAAAAATGAAACTTGATCAAATTTGAATTGAATTTTAAGTCTCAAATTTAAAATTGAATTCAAACTTAAACTCAATACTATATCGACTTGAACTCAATCAATTATACATTTACTCACCTTTAATCTAGGCTATAAATGAATTAAAATCTAAATCATAAATAAATGGATGATAACGAGGCTGAAGCTTTTGTCAAACCTAAATACCTCTAATGCTAAAAAAAAAAAAAAAAAAAAAAGGCTTTAATGGATGTTTACTTGGTTGTACAAAATGTTTGGTTTAGATTTATATCAAAGGGAAACCCTTTTATATAAAAAAATATATCTTAATTCAGAAACCCTTTAATGGATGTTTAGAAAGTGAAGTTGGTTTGGTAAATTACCTTCTTTTTTGGGGTCTGAGGAGTTACAGATTATCATTCAGATTGTACCTTGGCGGATTCCAATTTATCTTTTTCGGCTGTAATATCATCTGTCGGCTGAACTTAAGATAAATTGAAAAATGAAAAGCGAAACCAAAAAAGTTGTACCTTACTAAACATATGATATTAATTTATTTTTCATGTATTTTGTAAAAAAAAAATGCATCGATAAATAGATTAAAAAATCTCATAATTATTTAAATTCATCTCTCAAGCTGATTTTATCAAAATATCAGCACAAAAATTACATTTTTAACGCATGTTAAAAGATATTCTGTCATTAATTTATTCATAAGACCCGAATATTTCCAATAAAAGAATGAATATTGATATCAACTGCTTGAAGTAAATCAATAAGCCTCGGCACAAAAACATGGTCCTTCTTTAACAGCATCTATCTCTTCTGTTGGTCGGTTATATATTTTGTATAGTCTCCCCAGATATGGGAAAAAATTAATGTTATAAATGGTTTTTGAATTATAATAAATATTTAATATAATATTTATTATAATATTTAAATTATAAATTATTAATTAATGTGATATTTATTTATAATATAATTAAATTTAAATAATAATAATAAATTATGTATAAATAATTTTTAAATATCATATTAATTAATAAATTTATTATTTAAATATTATATTAAATATTTTGTCATAATTTAAAAACCATCACAACGATCAACCCAAAGAAAAGCTAGGAAAAGGCTCCATGTGCTATTCACTTATTCTTCGGGCTGTACAATTGGTTCTAGCAAGCACTAAAGTTTTTTTTCTTGGGCTTTGTGACCTTTGTCCATATCGTACGCCCACGAGACCACGCCTGGTTTAAGATAATAGATCGAGTGGAATCCATGTTTCCAAAGTTGGATTCACACTTCACAGTGTTTTTTGTCCTTTTCGTTAATGGACGCTTTTCTTAAAGTAGAAGAAAACTGAGTGAATACTTACTATAAAACAAGGCAAATGTATCAGAGTTTATATTTTATACGATTAGGATGTATTTAATATATAAAATTATGATAAAATAAAATAATATAATATTATGTATAAAATTAAATTAAATAATTTATTGATTAATCAAAATTATCTTTTTTTAAATTTTGTATAATTTAAATTATTAATATAATTTTAAAAGATAAAAATAATTTTTTTTACTTTGATAGGATTGAATCATCTTATATTAAAAGCATGATTAATTTTCTTTATAATATTATCACTTTCTTTAGATATTAATAAAATATAATATAAAATAATTATTATCTTATTTTATCTATCATCCTGTGTACCAATCATAATTTTAATGTGATAATTTTATTCTTTATCAATGATTATATATATAGTAGCTCTATATTTTTTAAAAAATTATAAATATTGAGATTTAAATTTTAAATTTAACTAAATTTAAGTTTGTGCAATGCACATGATAATTTTAATTTATAATAATTTTTAAATAAAGTAAATAAAAATTTAAATACTAATAGTTGACTAATAATAACAATAGATTAGAAGTAATTACATAAAAAAAGATTCAAATTAGTAATAATGCTCATTTAATCTATAAACACCTTAAAATAAAAGACAATAAAAATAGAATCAATGAAAATTTTGATTAAGAGATTATTATGTATACAAATATTTGACTATATGAGTAGCAAATTTTTTTTAGTTGAATTTGTAATTGAATTGTCATTTATATATTTTGTTGGGCTAATAATTAAAAACTTTTACCAAATTCAAACCGAAATTTATAATATCATTGAAAATAAAATATTATTAAGTAAATCCATTTGGATATGTGATAATCAAAATACATGTAATACTAAATTAGACTATCGCATGTAAAAAAGATAGATTAATTACAAAATTAGATAATTTTTTTAATATATATACTACTATTTAAAAATTAGAATATTATTTATAAAAAAAAAACATTAGCGTGTTTTATTTTAAGAAATGTTATATTTATAATTTTGACAAAAAATATTTTTTAATGATATAAAATGTTATTAATATTATAAAAACTAAATTTCTCAGCCTCCATAGCCTCCATATATATAAACCTAATAATTTAATTATGTACACTTAACTCTTTTTTAGTAACCATACATTTCAATATATTAAAGGTACTAAAAGTTCACATTTGGATTTAACTTTTCTTAAATAATAATGATACTATATATCTTCTTAAATTATAAGAAAATCAACTTATTCTAAATGTTTTAAAAAAAATTTCACACCAATAAAAATTTTGTAAAGAAAAAATAGTATAGTAAAATGTTGAATAAAAATTTATATTTTTGAATTATTTGGTGAAAATAACCATAATACTTATCTTATTATATGTATCCAAAAATTGAAACTAAAATTCTACTTCTATAAGTTAGCTTCACTTCAAGTTAAATCATGAAAGTGATAATATCAAAACAACAAACTTAATGTCAGATGAGAAACAAGAAAAAGTCATATCACTAAGAAAGAAATAAATCAATTCACTACAAGCAAAAAATAAAAAATAAAATGTTTATTTGATACATACGATAAGATAGGTGATAAGTGATCACTTTTTTTTATAATTTATCACCTAATTTGCTCTTTTATTCATAATAAAGTATAATGAAAATTTTGATATATAAATCTATATTATAACAAAAACTAAAAAAAAAAAAAAAGAAATTCAAGATATTAAATTTTCAAAAAACTTTGCTTAATTTTAAAATTTACTTTCAAAATGATTTTTTTTTCAAAAAATAAATTATTATACAATTGTGATGAAAAATTAATCTAAAAAATCTTAACACAAAAGAAAAAATAAATAAAAGAGTACCTAAAATAATAGAAAACCAAACATAAAATAATTTATATATCTAATCCATATATATATATATATATATATATATATATATATATAACATCACAAACACAAAAGAAAGAAAACCTAAGCTAAGTTTACTGTATACAGAAGGATATCCAGACAATAAGAAAAAATATTGCAGGGATGCATTTTATTTCTCAAGCATCCCAAAATACCATTATTTATAAGATGGATTTTGAAAATAATTATAAAAATATTTATATTTATAAAATTTTAAGAAAAAAATTATTTTTCATGTATTTCATAAAAAAATGCATAGATAAATAGATAAAAAAATCTCATAATTTAAATCCATCTCTCAAGCTGATTTTTATCAAAACATGAGCATAAAAATTACATTACGCATGTTAAAAGATATTCTGTCATTAATTTATTCATAGGGCCTGAATATTTCCAATTAAAAAAAATGAATATTGATATCAACTGCTTCAAGTAAATCAATAAGCATCGGCACAAAAACATGGTCCTTCTTTAACAGCATCTCTTCCGTTGGTCGGTTATATATTTTGTATAGTCTCCCAAGATAT